TATTGTCATCATCGTCATCATTAATATTTTATAATTATTCTACATTCATTTTGGAATTATTGCACAAACATTGAGTCATCACAGCATTAGTTAAATAGTTGTTTCTGGGTTTTGTTAGTCCCAATTGATGTTGTTTTCAAATACAATAAATCCCTTAATATACAATTTCTCAAATATATCATTCATTTTTGGTGGGTGCTCCTAAATTTTTTCTGGTGCTCCTAAATATTTCAGGTTGGGAGCATCGGTGCAACCAAGTAAGAAAGTTAATTTCGAGCCCTGCACTACAAACAAGTCATAAACTAGAATGCCATTATATAATGTAATGCTACTATACAAAAGGCTGATTTATACTTCTGCGTCAAACACCGGCGTATGCTACGGCGCTGACGCAAAGCCCTTCGCCGTGGTCGTCGCAGTCACTGACGTGCACCTCTCAAAAAATGTAACTACACGTCGTAACAACACGTAGCGCAAGCTCTGTGATTGGTCGGCTTGGTAGCGCTGACGTGTCGGGGCGGGTCCGAGAGCCGCGCGAATGGCGTGAACCCAATGTAGCGATTGTTTACAAGTGTGGAGTCCTGTGAAGGAGCTCCGAATGGAAAGTTTTATTTTGTGTTTACCTCATAGTTAAAGTTGCTGCACGTCCGCCGGTTCCTGCCTCAAAATGAGCGAGTTTGGCCACTTGTACATCCCGGAAGTGTTCAGGAAAAGCAAAAAAGCAGCGAAGAAACTCGACACAGAGGAACATTAACACCTCACTGCCAACTAGCGTTTCGGATGTGTTAATGCAGACCAACAGTTGCCTGCGCCGTGGGTCACGCCGGTCACTTGACGCAGAAGTATAAATCAAAAAAGAGAAAATAATCCATTATTTACTGGGTGTTTGTCTATGATTAGCTCTGTTCACCTCTTCTTGCATGCCTTCAAATTTGAGTTCTTCGTTCACCTGACACTAACAGCCCCATATAAGATTAACCAATGCGTACAATCTGAGCCAGACACACCCATGATTAGTTCACCTTTTGAGTCTATGGGTTTTTAGTCATTCGTTCATCCTGTGACAGCATGTAAAGAGAAGACTCAAAACTGAAGATCGGATCAAATCTTTTTCCAGCTCTAAATGGTTTTGATCGGCTTCTGTCTTTCACGCAATGAACGAACGACTCAAACCCAATAGAGAACTCGAAAAATAACTTATCTCCTCCTCCACCTGTCAAAGATCATCTTGAGTCTGTAATTCTGCAATGTTTGAACATATTGACAATGACCTTTAGGTGCGTCACTGGCACCACACAATAACCACAACACAAACTTGATAACAGCACCGCCTAGCGGTCATGCATTATTAACCCTTAACCAAGCATCAATAATAAATCTTCTAAACTGACTAATAAATATTGATTGCATAAGTTTGTGGTAAAAATTGATCTCAACTTATTCCTTACTCCATGCTGAGAACATGGATACCAGATATGCCATATTTGGGCAAACTTCCTGTCCACCATATTGATTTTGTTCAAAAACCTTCTTTTGCGAACCCCCTCTCGACCATAGATTCAATTTTTACTAAATTTAACTCTGATCATTTTCAGACTATGCGGACCAAAATTTATAGAAATAAATGTGCTGGTATAACGCCAAACTGCATCTGAGGCTGTCTCTCTGCAATGCTTACATGTAATGATACCAAACTGTAGGTGCGCCATTGTCACCTAACACTGACCAAAACATTACATTTATAACTCTGCCACCTATTGGTCAAAAGTTATAAACCAATAAATCATTCATATGCTAATTGCTTTCATAATTTCCTGATATTTTAAGTGAAACATACTTCAAATTAATTGTTTCACTTGGTCTCATGCTGATTACTAACTTTTTTGCTTTTAGCCTCTGGACTGCTTTGCTCATTCTGGCTCAGCACCTTAATGGCTGCTTGCAGCTATATTTGTTACTATTATTATAATTAGGGATGCACCAATACCATTTTTTTGGAACCGTTCCGATCTCAATACCAAAATTCTGAGTATTGACCGATACAGATCCGGTTCCGATATGGTGCCATTTTTTAATTTTTTAATTTTTTTTGTTTCACTTGGTCTCATGCTGCTAACCAACTTTGTTGCTTTTGGCCTTTAGACTGCTTTGCTCATTCTGGCTCAGCACTGCTTGGCCCCTTAATGGCTGCTTGCAGCTTTATTTGTTACTATTATTTTGATTAGGGATGCACCGATACCATTTGTTTGGAACCGATCCGATCTCAATACCAAAATTCTGAGTATCTACCAATACAGATTCGATCCCGATACCGTGCCATCTTTTTAATTATTTTTTTTATTAACATAATACAGTTTCTATAGCTTTTGTGACAAACTCAAACAATAGGCTATATTTTCTTTAGTAAAAATAAAAGCTATAGGCCTACTGTAAATGACAAATGGCACAATCTAACCAAACATGATGCTTGCTATAAACTATGGGCTACATTATTTGAACATTCATGACATTGATCTGATCTGTTGTGGTCCAGCTTTTCTTTCATTTTTCTTTGAAATCTGTAATAGACTACCACTATTGACACTAATCATTGGTAAAATAGCCAGCTTTATAGCAAAGCCTGATATTGTCCTCCAGGTTTGAAGCAGACTAAACTAAACCGACTTACAGTTTTACTTAATAAACATTCCCTCGCCTAAACTCGCCGCGAGTGCGATGGAGAAACTGAAAGCATGCCTGAAAAATCATTTTTTGTCTGAAAAATTATCTTTCTGAAACAAATTTTGTTTGGTATAATTTGTTGGCTATTTAATGTATTTTTGTTGGTCAGTTATCTACAAAATAAACAAGAATATTTGAGGTGAAGTTCAAAACAAGGTCCGCTTATGCTTCAGCGCACAAACTTACAAATCGGTCTTTTAAATAAAATGTTAATATACATAATTGACAGCAAAAGATTCATTACATTAGGCTAAATAATTTTCTGTTAATGACAATTTATATGTACCAGGCTGTCAGTGTGCCTTTTAATTTAATCAACTACTTTGACCACAATGAGCCAGGCTCTACAAACTATTTGCTGCACTTAAACTATTCCCCTCGGAAGAATAAACTCAGTTGGAAGGATGAGAGTGCATAAACTTATTGTAAGAATAATTTTACAGAGGGGCGCATGTCGCGTCTGAACAGCCAGTGCCTGAATGAAGCGCTTGCATTACTGAGACACAGCGTGCAACCCTCCAGTATACAGATACTTCTAAAACAGCAGCACACAGGGGAAAAATCAGTGTGTTGAGGATCTGTCCAATGTATTATTGAGCCTTTTCTTTTTTAAGTAGACCTACTTTGTGTGTGAAGAGCAGGTAATAACCCTCTCTAGGCTACTCCAGTGTTGCGAATGCGATCTGCTGATCTAACAGACATAGCATGATTTGGAAAAAGCAATGATCTCCATGTTGCAGGTCAAAATTAAGGCATTTAATGTTAACTAAAAGCATTTCTTTGCAATTTTGTGACTTTTGTTGGCTTGTAAATTACACAGAATATAGCGTTTGCGCAAAATTGGATTTGGATCGGTACCAGCTGGCCGATACCGACCCAGCAAAAATATGCTGCATCGAACCGATATTCGATCCAAGTATTGAGATCGGTGCATCCCAAATTGTAATTATTGACATCATTAATATTTTAGAATTATTGGGCATTCATTTTGAAATTATTGTGCAAATATTAATAAGTGATCACAACATTAGATAGTGGTTTCTGATTTTTGTTATTCCTGATTGATGGTGTTTTCAAGTACAATAATTAATATACAATTTGAAGTGGTGCTCATTATTTTTTGTGGTGCTACTACATTTTTTTAAGTTGGAAGCACCGGTAAAAGGTTTATTTTAAGCCCTGTGTAGGAGGTAATTTGGCTGTATAGTGGGGACAGAAATTTTCTGAAAGGCAATAAAACTCCAGTCTGGACGAAGATCATTTTCATTCGAAAATGCCACTTTAAAACAAAAAGGCACCAGTGTAAACTGCACCTAAGACGAACAGCAGAGTTGAGTATGTGGATTAAAGGTAATAACGTTGTAAATAAAGCTTTTTGGGACAGTCCGATCATTTGGCTTAAAGCCCGGGACACATCAAATCAACGTCAAAGTACTAGCGGGGATGAAAACCGACTGTGTTGTCACCTTGCGTCAGCTGCATTTAGTCTTGTTTTAACATGAACTGCACATGAACAAACCAAACGGATGACAGACAACTGAAATGAGGACATGCTTTAAATATATGAATAAACAAAGCAGCATAAGGAGCATTTACGTACCAATTTTACAGCACTTCACTCACCACAGTAGAATTCACGAATGCAAATAAGTATGATAATCTATGTTGTTTGCAAAAATGTAGAAAATGCGATTTAATGACTGCTGGCTTTTACGTATTCACTCTTGACTTGCGTCATTTGTATAGTTTTGTCACCTTAGTTTTTGCTCATGCTCTCTGATTAGTAGCTGAACAGCTAATCAGACCATTTTGGTCACCAACGACCAATGCTGATTTTACATACTGATTCAGGCAAACTCCCGCCAACATGAGCCCGATGTGAGGAGTCATGTGGAACACACCAAACAACCTAGCCTGACAAATACTAGACAAAAGCTAACCATAGGCTTGGTGTGTCCCAGCCTTAAGAGATGCATCGCCAGGAGCAGCAGGTAAAAATCCAAGGTTTAGCTGGAAAATCTTTGCTAAAAGATTATATTGTTAACAGTGAATATGCCTCCAAGTTTAAAACCATTGTTTATTGCAATCATTATTTTCTACGAAAGTAAATTGTTATTCAGTATTGTCTGTATGGCACTGGACAAATGCAGTTATATCCCTCACATATATATGACAAAAACCAGTTGTAATCAGATTACAATAAACTTCTGAAATACACTGGACCCGACAAGTGTAAACTGTACTTAGTGTCCAATCAATGAGATTCAAGCATCGCTCACCTTCCAGTAGTCTGACTGTAAACTGTAGTATCTCTGGTATGCAGATAATGCTACAAAAGAAAAAACAAAAGAAATTAATTAAGAACTAGTGTCAATTACAATTATAACAATTTTAAAAGACAATATTTAGTCAGAACTCACCTTTAGGATAATCTTCCAGTAAAAGGTTGAAGTGACCTAACTGGCAAAACACCTCTGGCTCCACTTTCCCTTCAGCTTTTAAAATATAGACGTCATAGCAGCGAACAGCCTGTGAAGCGAAGAGCAAGTATTTAAAAAAAAAAGCACAAAAGGTAGGAAAATACGTATTTCAATCACCTTAAACCAGTCATTTACCATAAAATACACTGACACGGCAATATGATATCTCAAACTTCTAGGGCTCTATTTTGACGGTCCATGAGCAGAGCGCAAAACGCAGGGCGCAAACGCTTTGGGGGAGTGTCAGAACGCATTTTTGCTAATTTAAGGACGGGAAAATCCACTTTGCGCCATGGCACATGGTCTAAAAGGGTTGAGTTTATTTTCTTAATGAGTTCTGGCGTGTTTTGAGAATAAACCAATTAGAGTCTCATCTCCCATTCCCTTTAAGAGCCAGTTGTGTCACGCCATAAGCGCATTCGCTATTTACAGGACATAAAGGTCTAAGTGGAAAAACTGCGCATTTCACTAACAAATAGTTAACAGTTAACATTTTTTTTAACAGAAAACTGTTAAACAGAGCATCTACTGCGTGAGAATGAGAGATAAATTATCACTTTCACTTTCGCTCTTGGATAGGGAAACCTTTACGCACAGACATCAAATAGTCTTTAAATAATTAATTGCATTTGTCAAGCGCAAATATTAGTTTTAAAACTATTTCTAAATTCAGTTCTAATTTCCAGCAAACAAATAAATTAACAACAATAACGAAGTGTGCTCAAAAACCTGAGTTATATCCTAAAACACATGATGTCCCATATGGTCTAAAACCTGACAGGTGGGCAAATCTAAGCTTGTTTTTAATAAAACAAATATAAATATGGATATAATAAATAATACTGCTAATAATAATAACATTATACAAAAGCAAATTGTTATGAATGAACTGAAAAAGCCTCCCGAGATGAAGACAAAAAAAAGCAGTGATTTTTCATATTTATGTAGGCTAGAAAATAATGTTTTGTAATGTTTTAATCCTTTATATTTATATCCTATATCTATTCTATATATATCCATAACATTTAAATTTTTTCATGTGTAAAGATATTTGCCTAATGCTCTCTTGTGCATATTGAGCAGTGCGTAAGCGAACCACAACTCTGCGCCGGAGTTTAGACCGGGTTTGTTTTGGTCTAATGAAAAATCTATTATAGTTTCTCAAAATAGCGACGCACCAGTAATGCACCTCAGAACGCCTTCCTTTTTAGACCAGAACGCCTATGGACGCACATATGAGCGCTAATGCCTTTGCTATTTAAACAGCATAGCGCAACACCTCAAAACGACTCTTGCGCCAAGCTTAAAATACCAAGTATTGTGCCGCGCCTTGCGCCACATTGCGCTGGGTGCATGATAGGGCCCCTAATGTCTATTTAACAGGGAATGATTCACTTAATCACAGCAGAAACCAAGCTTTATGAAAGATTGTGTAGTTTAACATCAGCATATATGTTGCCTATTTAAACAGCAGTCATACACGTCATGTAATGTGCAGTACAAAAATTGTATATAAAATGCACAGATAAATACACACACGCACACAAGCAACAACAGTCTTTTAATTATGAATAAGCCAACTCAGGTGCTTATGGTAAACTGTCATGCTATTATAACCTCATCGGATTTAAGATCAATGATCCTCGCTGCCTAACGGAGATACAATATAAAGCGGGTGTCAAATTAAGTTCCATTGTTTAGTTCCATATCTTTAAATATTTGCATCGTAGTAACACTTCTTGTAATTTATTGCAGTTTTATAAATATTACATTTTTTTTAACTGTATTTTCAATAAAGTTTCTGCCCTGATGCTACTGATGACACTTGAGTTTAAACATCGTTCATCTCATTTCTACACTTGAACTAGGGCTGCTATTTCGTTTCAGCATCGAAATCAAAATGTCCACATTCGCAATAGTCACATGTAGACATGGGAGGATAACCGGTTTTAAGGTATACCAAGGTTTGGAAAAGTCAAGGTTTTAAAACTTTCTATAAAAATTATGTTATACCGTTCCTAAGGTACAGTTAAAGTCAGAATTTTTAGCCCCCCATTGAATTTGTTTTTCTTTTTAACATTTTTTTCCCAAATGATGTTTAACAGAGCAAGGAAATTTTCACAGAATCTCTGTTAATATTTTTTCTTCTGGAGAAAGTCTTATTTGCTTTATTTCAGCTAGAATAAAAGTAGTTTTTAATTAAAAAAAAAAACGCTTTAAGGTCAAAATGATTAGCCCCTTTAAGCTTTTTTTTTGGTAGCCTACAGAACAAACCAACGTTTTACAATAACTTACCTTATTACCCTCACCAGCCTAGTTAACCTAATTACCCTAGTTAAGCCTTTATATGTCACTTAAAACTGTATAGAAGTGTCTAGAAAAACATCTAATCAAACATTATTTAGTCATCATGGCAAAGATAAAATTAATCAGCTATTAGAAATTTGTTTTTAAAACTATCATGTTTATAAATGTGTTGAAGAAATCTTCTCTCCGATAAACAGAAATTGGGTAAAAATAAATAAATAGGGGGGCAAATAATTGTGATTGAAACTGTTTATGTACGTTTATGTACGTGTACTGTTTTATGTACGTTTTTTTTACGTCATAAGTTTTTAATGGGCAACAATATCTCCAAAGATATAAAAAGATGCCATTTTAAATTGTAATGAAATTTGTGTTTCTGAAAGTAATGAAAACAGCTGTCAATGATTCGTCTGAATTATATAGCCTGATGTTTACTTTTCCAAAATACTTTAAAAGTTTCACAAAATAAAACATGTTAAAGGGGAAAAACGGTTTTGATTTTTACCCATACATTAAAAAAGATGATATTTTAGAGGCGTAATCACAATAATGTAAAACCGTAATACAGGGCTGTGCGATTTAGGGAAAGTATTTAATTGAGATTTTTTTTTTTAAGATATTGCTATTTGGTTTGCAATTTAATTTTGTATTCAAGCTTCAGCTCAATAATCAGTCATGGCAACAATTCTGCCACAGCTCTTAAAAACTGCGTTTTTATTCAGTGTCTGTGACTTTAAAACTAAAATATTCCCATATTACCAACGCTCTTTTGGTTTTATTTTAATTAATCTATTAAAGCTTCTGAAGCAGCAGACACCATTATCCCACTTGTTTTTGTTTTTATTGTGGATGTTCCGAATAGTTCAGTTGCACAACTTTGATTGGACAGAATGAAAATTAGCTCACTTAATTGGCACACAGACGGCAGTCAAACATTTGCTCTGGGAGGGGGAAACTAAATAATAAATATATATTTCGCCTCTTGCGATTAACTTATTGCTACGTTTCAAATTGCGATTCAATTTCGATTAATCACACAGCCCTACCGTGATATTTTTATCCTAGGTTATCATACCGTCAGAATCTCAAACCAGCCCAAGCCTAGTCACGTCGCAGAATATGCAATGCTGAGTCTGCATTATATTTGAGAATTTTTATCTTGTTTCTAGTCCAGAAAAATCTAAATTTCAAAGTGAAAACAAGATTATTTTACTTGTTTTAAGTTGACATATTACTTCTGAAAGTAAAAACTAAATTTAAACATAAAACAAATCAAATATTTTTAAAACATAAATTTTTTTTGTTATTTGGACTAGAAATCAGACAAAAAGTCTAAGCAAAGCATTTTTTGTATTGTGAATATTTAATTTCTCTACCTAAATACTATTAGACACTCGAGAAAAAAATATGTTACATTAAAGCATTCAAACTATCTGGAAAAACTGTATTCGTAACACAATATATTTTGCAGAAAAATACCGCAATATCAGATTTTTCCAGTATCATGCAGCCCTACACTTTAAAAATGCAGACAATTTATTAATGTTGTTCCAACACAAATAGATTAACTTAACACCTAATTTTTATGTTCAATCCACATAAATGTGTTGTGTTGTCCCAATGAATACTTAAGAAATGCGTTGTTTCAGCTCACTTTGAATAAGCAGTTTGATTGTGCAAAAACATTTTTTTTTTAGTGTAACTTTAACAATTAAATAAATGCTTAAATCTATTTAACTAACTATACTTTGATTAAATTACACTATCAATGCTTTCGATGCAAGGAACTGTATGAAATTGAAAATACTCATATCTAACTTTTACTGGACATTCATTGGTGGCTTAAAACACTTTCATTGCTATACCCCACTCTAAATTTACAACACACTTAAAAATAAATTCTTTCTTCTCTTATTGTACTTCCTTTTAATAAATTTTTTTTAACTGTTCATTAAAGATTTCTGAAAATAATTTCATGGTTTGCACCTTCTACGAAAAAATAAGCAGCAGAAGAGTTTTTAACACGTTTCTTAAGCGCTGTATCATTGTGTGATCATATGGCTGCTGAAAAATCAGTCTGGGCATTACAGAAATAAATAACAGTTTAATTGCTTCTCATCGTTACACTTTAAAGCTCTGATAATCGTACAAGGTCACTGAACCTGAACGAAACTAAAGGTCACAGAAGAGGTCAAATACAGTGGTTACTTTCTATGACAAGTAATTCTTTTTTTTCTCAGGTTCGCTCTGTACTCTGGAAGTAACGTCTATAGATTTTGAACTATCTCACTCAAAACAAACACACAGGCTAAACCTCAGCAGTAACTAATGAACACTTTATGGTGGCACATCAAATGCACACTTAGTGCTGGTATAACAAATGAGTATTGTGAGCAAGCTCAGTCATGAAGAGAACTCAGTTAATTTAAATAAACACCAAACGTAAAATATTGAACACTTTCTTTTTAGATCAAGCCAGCATAACTTCAGAATATTGCTGCCATTACAGTCACTGCTAAACGCATCAATACACGTTCTGCTGAAACTAAAAGGAAGTTATTTTTTAACTGCTGTGCTCACTTTTAAAAAGGTGCTGGCCATATCTGGGACAGCAAACGTTTTGACAGACATAGCTAGTTTGAGGGAAGAGTTGCTCAGTAGCAGAGAGACAGCAAGACCTCAAAAACAGGACTGAGCTGAATGACATGATATGTGCATCTATTTCTAAATGAATTCTTGTGAAACACCACAACAGCCTCAAAATGCCTGGCAGTTGGCAGAAGAGGCAATCAAACATTTCGCATATCCATCTCCTGTGGGGAAAATGTAGACGTTTTCTAACGAAAAAATGTAAAACTTTCAATTGGTTACCATGAATATTTGTATTTTTCCATTATTTGGTACATTGTTTCAAAATTCACTCATCAATTTTCGGTTTAGTCCCTTTATTAATCAGGGGTAGCCACAGCGGAATGAACCGCCAACTTATCCAGCATATGTTTTACGCAGTGGATGCCCTTCCAGCTGCAACCCATTATTAGGAAACACCCATACACTAATTCACACTACAGAAAATTTTACTTACCCAATTCACATATACTTCAAGTCTTTAGACTTGTGGGGGAAACCGGAGCACCCAGAAGAAACCCACCTGAACACCAGGACAACATACAAACTCCCCACAGAAATGCTAACTGACCCAGCCAAGGCTCGAACCATCAACTTTCTTGCTGTGAGACGATCGTGCTACCCGCTGCACCAATATGACGCCTGTTTCAAAATTTATTTTGACAATCAACAAAACTGCTCATATCAATGATAACCAATTGGAATGAGTACAATTGAGCGTTAAATAAAACTTTATAGTCATTTATAGTGTGATTTATGATTTAGAAATTCAGCATCAGGTGTACTTCTCGTCGCTAGGGATGCAACGATTAACCGATATCACTATTTTCTGCTAAACTGTATACTTGGGTATGGGTAAGATTTTTGATTTACATTTTTGTTTGCTTTTTAGGACAACAGTATCTCCAGCAGAAAATATATATAAAGATGCCGTTTTAAATAGTGAAGAAAGTGTTTTTTAAACAAATGAAGACAGCAGAAGTCAATGATTCATTTAAATTATATAGTCTGACATGTTTACTGCTCCAAAATGAATGTTTCTCAAAACAAAACATATAATGTTTAAAGGGGAATTCTTTTTTTTGTTTTTTTTTTTTTACCCCAGACATTTAAAAAGAAGATATTTTAGAGCAGTAATCACAATACCATAAAACAGTGATATTTTTGTCCAAGGTTATCATACCGTCAGAATTTTATACCAGCCCCTGCCTACAATAAATAATACTTTAAAATATGAGGAGTTTTCATGTGATTTACAAAACTAGTAGTGTTCTGAAATTAATGAATACATAATAATCGTGATAACTATAAAACTATGATTATTCATCAGACTAATCTTAAACGAGAAAAATATACAATCATTGCTTCCCTACTTGTCGCTAATAAAAATAGTAATTTAAAAAAACAAGAATAACTGAATAATCCCAACCCAATAATCTCATTGATTTACAGAATACCTCTAAGAAGACAGTAAATACATTTTAAGTGCAGTCACTTTTTTCTCTTATCTTTTTTCCCCTTAAAATGCAGTTCTTTGACCCTGCAATACCCAAAATAAGATTTTTCCAAGTAGTAAATGAAGCCCTGCTCAAACAGCTCTCAGCAAATGTTACTTCCAAATGCAGGGAAGGCGATGCAACCTAGCACAGAAAGCATAGTCATTCCACTAACTTGCTCGTCGATTTGACAATCCATATTGAAGTACTCCAATATGCACTAATGAACAATATAAAAGTGCTTTTTAAACTTGACTGCTGAGATAAAACAGAAAAAACGACCTCAATAGCACCAAAATGACGTCCTCACATGCAGTTACAGCTGATTAGCATCATGCTAACCTGCTAACACGTAGCCACAAACGGATAAACGACTAGAACATAAGCTTTAACCTTACTAGCTCATCTCGAAACGCTTCAGTAGCTTGAAGACTTGGTTATAAACTCCAAATATTTTTAATACTTCGCAAAATTGGCCTACTTGAGTATGAACAGCTTGGCTAACTCAACTTATACACTGTGCTTATCATTTTCATAACCAACAGATGCACCTTCTGGCTCAATATACGTTAAAGCAATTTAGACTAATTTTCTCTATAATTAAGACAAATTAATTCAAACACACTTCGACTGTTTAACTCGTATTCAAACACATGCAAATAAACAAAAACACCACCCTTATTATCTTCAACTCTTTATTACAAACCCATACTGACAATGGAACGATGTCATATCAGGCAAGTGGCCTGTAACGTTTCACCATCAAACCAATCCATGCAATAACATAAACGGACAAAACGTAAAACAAAATCAGTAATTTCTCGGATGGAGTGAGCAAAACAACACTCAAAAATAAAGAAGTCTGTTTTACTGCGATTTGAATGCGCAAGAACTCGACAAAGCCAGCACCCAAACTAATATAACTTAACAGTCAGTTTAACAACCTTGTGATTACCAACATCGAAAATAATTACTGTAGTAAGCGACTACACATGAATACAGAGATGCATCATGTCTATAAAGAGCCCTTTTTATCTTCATATCTCCATGCATTAACGTTACAGCTGAATTGAGCAGATTAGTGCTAAGCATTCTAGTTTACGTTTAGCGACGATATAAACAATCGAGCAGTTTAGACCTGCTTTATAATAAAGGTCGCGTTATGTGTGCATATTTATTGGAATAAAGTATGTATAGAGATGTGAGATATTTATATTTTTTATGACAATTAATCAATTGAGATCTGATATAATAGTGTGTATAGCTGTACGTGGGTATTATGCATAAATACGGTACAACAGGATATCTCAACTTTAAATGCATCGCTGGGCGATAATTGAGTATTTATAATAATGTATTTATTGATAATTTCTATAAAAAGTGTATACACGTCTTTTTTATAGCATCCTACCAGTGCATACATTAAATGGAAAGCTACTTCCGACTGTGTATGGCTGTTGATATAGAGTATATATTTACGCACTCATACACACACCCTTTACGTGTTATTGCGTACGACACTTTATCAGTCTTAGCAACTCTTTCTCTAGAATTTTGCAGACTGATTTTGCAATCAAAATTTTCCATATATGATTATCATAGTTGTGTGTGTCTATCTATCTCTAGACCCCCATCAGTGTCATACACTCATACCTTTAACAGCAAGGCCTTCGTTCTGGCGCCATCTTCATGAAGCCTCTGAAATCCAAACAGTGTGCTGCAAATAGAGGACAACACAGGCGGTTCCGTGTTAGTTTACCTGCGCTGCAATCATTTGCACCGCTTTGAACATACAGGAAATGCTTGTAAAATGCACGACAGGTCGTCGTGGCATGGAAACGGACTTTAACTGACCTGTCTATGCTGGCTAAGCGCTCCCTTTCTTGCGGCGTAAGCTTCGGAAAGTCCTCCTCGGTTTCTCTCGCTTTTCCCGCCGCCATTTTCTTTTCCTCATCACCACCAGCAGCAGCAGCAGCAGCAGCGCGAGCTACAGCGGCCACCGACACTCCGCACGATTTCATAGACAAAAAACTCCAGTGAAAATATTTACGCACCGCAAGCAGAGTACCTCTTTTGTAGAGCTAAACGCCAAAAAATGAACAGATGGGAAATGATTTCCTCGGAACACCCAATTTTTCACATTGTCCTCGACATGAATGAGTCGCGGGTAGCAGGTACACCAAAATGCATGTAGAACGAGCAATGCAGGGTTTAACGGTAAATTGTTATTTAGTAATATCTGAAACTTCCCCCTAGTCGCCAGCTCAAACTTGTTATAATTGTGTCACTCAAGCGAACCCACGCCGCCGTCGTTGCAACGCCTTCTCTGTGGTTTTGACCAATCGCTGCTTTCGAAGGAGGCCACGTGATCGGCCTTGTCTTGGGATCCTTTTTTTCATATAAACTTTCAAGGGGGAGGGTAAATAACAAACCCCTCAACTTTACGCCGCATCTTCGTCAGCTGCGATTGGTTCACCTGCATTTATTATGATTACGTAACACCAATATGAAACGTATTATTGGTTCGAGCGTCTGTCTGTTTGAAAACTCGGGGGTTTGAGGACGTGAGGAGAACGTTGGATATACTTCTACGATAAATAAATACTACCTCTGGCATTGTTCTGTATGTGTCGTTCTTGCATTAATAATAAAAAAACGATAAATAAATACAGTTTGTTGTATGAGTCAGTTTCATTTTACAGTCTTCCACACCTTTGTATAGTACGGGGTAAATTTGATTACATCTATCTTTCTTTTAGCTTGTGAGAAGGTAAGGCAAAGCACTTAGTTGGTGCCAGTTTTACATACAAATAAATTGACTTAGTTATTTATAAGTGTACTATATTGTATTGTATTCCAGTCTAGTTTGTGTAATGCCTGGTTTTAGATAATAATTGCAACCTTATCTAATCACAACACGTACACTCCTAAAAATAAAGGTACCAGGAAGAACCTTAAATGGGATTTCACAGTGACATTATAAACCTTTTTTTAATTCCCAATAGTCATAATATAGAATGTAGGCCTATTATACTTAAATGGGGGAGACTTTTGTTGTAAAATGTACAAACAAATTTATTAGATTATTATTTATTAACAACAGAGCCTTAAAGACAAGAATATTTTGTTTTTGGAATGTTTGTTATTAAGATATTTTGTGGAAAAACGCTGGGTTGCTTCCTTTTCGTTTCTGCATAATTATTAAACATAGGGAACTACATTTAACAACATATTTTACAACATTTATGTTAGCAATTATACATTATCTAAATTTATGCAGTCTGATGGAAATTGCTCATTATCTTTAGATCTTTCAGAGTCTATGGTTCATCTTTTTTATGAATGTCAAAATTCAAAGACGTTTTGGGAAGACTTATCATTGTGTGTCCAAAAAACAAAAACAGGTTTTAGATGTAATTTGAACCTCAAATATTTTTTATTTATATTTTATTTTAACTTAAACAATTTATCTGTAGAATTTATAATGAATCTTTAGATTTTATTTGGTAAATTTTATATTCATAAATGTACATTGAATAACTTTAAACCTTGTTTAAAGGTTTCTATTATAGATTTTGATTTATATATACTCGCTCCAGTTTATTAATAGCAAGAAATGTCAAGATACAAATAAAATTGCAAAGGAGCTGAAGTTAACTGAATAGTAAAATATAGCTGTCAATTGGGTAGATTAAATCAACTAGTTATATTGTCATTGTAAATGTTTCAGTGTTGAAGTTGTGTTTTTATTTATTTTAATTATGTAACATATATATATTAGTTAATTTTATGTTATTAGTTACATTTGTATTATTTGTGGGGTGACGCGGTGGCTGGGTCAGTTGGCGTTTCTGTGTGGAGTTTGCATGTTCTCCCCGCATTCATGTGGGTTTCCTCCAGATGCTCTGGCTAAGTCCAAAGACATGCGGTACCGGTGAATTGAGAAAGCTAATTTGTGCGTAGTGTATGTGTGTGAATGAGAGTGTATGGGTATTTCCCAATGATGGGTTGCAGCTGGAAGGGCATCCGCTGCATAAAGCATATGCTGGATAAGTTGGCAGTTCATTCCGCTATGACGACCCCAGATTAATAAAGGGACTAAGCCAAAAAAAATAAATAAATGAATTATTCGGATGTCATGTTTAAATTGTATATTTGCTGTTGTTTAATAAAAAAAATAATAATAATAAAAAATAAATAAAATCATAGAATTTATGGCTTCATAATCTAAAGAAACTACTAAAAATATATTCATTCATTTTCTTTTCGTCTTAGTCAGAATATATATATATATATATATATATATATATATATATATATATATATATATATATATAATTATTATTATTAACATTTTTTTTTATATTCCATGGCTGTTAAGTTTATTTTGACCCTGCCTCTTTCTTTGATTTTTCAAAGTACAGCACATGGATCCAAATTCTTTAAGAACATACATTTACCCAGTGAATTTATTATTTATTTATTTAACCCTTTCATGCGCTACATGGGTCTAAAGTGACCCGTCTAAGTTTATTTTTTTACATTTTTCTATATCTATTTTATAGCTTGTGCATCAAAGGGTCAATAATACTTTATTGTACTGTACTGCATATGATGGTGTACTGTATTTATCCTTGTCTGTATTGCTGTAATGTTTCTCATAATAAAAATACTGTCTTTTTTAACTTCTTTCACTCTTTCTTCAACATCCCAAAAGTTGTATAGAATATGAAATATCTGTAAAAATATTAAAATTATTATTTGATGGTTGTTGTTATCAATGTTTTAATTATGTATACAACTATTATTAGTGTTTTAAATGTTTGAAAGCAGTAAATGTAAAAACTCTGTACACTTAAATTCTGCACAAAACGCACAAGAGTAACGTTAAAGAGAGAACGTTTTGTTAATTAATAATAAAAATACTCTCCATCCTATCTTCTATCATCCATTTTTGCTGTCATTGTTTTCTTTCTTTCTTTCTTTCTTTCTTTCTTTCTTTCTTTCTTTCAACACCCTGAAAGTTGTATAGGCTAGAATATGAAATATTTAGAAAATTATAAAAATTATTATTTAATGCTATTATTTATATTTTAATTATGTAAACAACTGTTATAGTGTTTAAAATGTTTGAAAGCAGTAAATGTAAAAACGCTGTGTTAAAATTATGGACAAAAAAAAACACAAAAGTAAAAAGACAGAGAGTTCTGTTATTTAAATATGCTAGGCGTCTTTGAGCTTTGAAAATCTTACAGACCTGAGCTTCCCCTTAGTAGTGGAGTATACACAGAAACATGTAAAATGCTTTCTGGTTCTGATGGTAGACAGTATTTTATATACTGAGATTGCACCATTACACTCTACGGACTTTGTGAAGTATTTAGTGAATACCACATATACGCAAATTTGGAATCGAAGAGTGATTATCGCACGCAAACTGCGCAGCATTTTACGTAAGAGCTTCCGCGGTTGCGAGCGTCGTGAACGCAGCCTCATAAAATGGCGGATCGCGGCGAAGGTAAATAAATTGGCTAACCAAACATTTGAATGAATAGTCTCGATTGGCAGCGTGTTTGTTTCACCGGATTTATCGCGTGCAACAAGATTCCGAGTGTTTACACCGTAGAAGAGCAGCATAGGTTTCGTTTATTTTGCCAGCAGCCGTTCAGTCTATACAGATACAACGCAGCTAAATTCAACCATACTGTTTTCATTCTCATTCGTCTTTCCATTCGCGTGCTGGTAAATTCATTGACACTTATTAATGCAAACAAATTAGTGTAATCACATCGTATTAATTTGAAATGTCAAAGGACGTGAACCTTAATGGTTGAAAATTCGTATATTCAGTGTTTACAAAGCTGGATCATGTTTGTCATCAGAGAACAAACATAGAATTACAGTATTCGTTTGTAACGACTGTGGTTAATGTTTTCACTTGTAGATGCAGAGAGTGAAGATGAATTGTATGAAGTGGTCAACATCACAGATTATGCCAGGAGGCATCAATGGTGGAGTCGAGTATTTGGTAACAGCACAGGTCCCATTGCAGAAAAATACTCTGTGGCTTCACAAATCATGATGGGTGGAGTGTCCGGATGGTTAGTGTTCATGTGAATGCTTTAATTTCTAATAAAACCCTTAATATTCCTGATTGTTATAAATAATAAAAAAATGTCCTTCTCTAGGTGTGCTGGATATCTCTTTCAGAGAGTTGGAAAGCTTGTGGCTACTGCTGTTGGAGGAGGATTTCTTTTGTTACAAGTATGAGTTCTTAAAATTAAGTTATGCTTTTAATTAGTATATGTTATGCTCAATGACATTTAATTTGTTAATCATCTATTTTCTTATTTCAGATTGCCAATCATAGTGGCTATGTGCAGGTGGACTGGAGGAAAGTGGAAAAGGATGTCAATAAAGCTAAAAAGCATTTGAAGAAAAATGCCAAAAAAGCTGCTCCTGAGCTCAATACCTTTATAGAAGATGTGGGTATACTTTCATATGCTTGTCATAATTTCATATACTATCTATTAGCTGTTATGACACTTCGCTTAACCTACATTTTGTTCTACAGTCTACAGAGTTTGTGAAGAGGAATATTGTTATCTCAGGAGGATTTGTTGGAGGATTTCTGCTAGGCCTGGCATCCTAAATGAAACCTGGATGTACTGTATTGCCTCTGATATGAGTACAGTAATATTGTCCCTTATCTTGGTATCACAGTGATACAGCACTGAAACATGTTGTTTGTTCAGAAGCAGTGAGTGCAATGGACATTTGCTGGACTTTTTTAATATGTTCCTCTACAATGTTATACAATAGCTAAAACATCCTGCAGGAGAGAGATATATTGTGCCAATAACTTTATAGAAAATTGTGGCTTTTATTTTGTTCATTTTATTTTAATTAGTGATAATGCATTCATTTGTTACATGTACAACTACTGAAGTGTTTCATATTGTATTTTGCTTTTGACGGTACATTATTTGAGGTAGATGTATCATTTCCCTAATATATTGTCAAAATGCATGAATTGTTTTGACGTAAAGATAAAAATAATGTTGTGGAAATAATAAAAAGTCTTTCTGGTTATGTATAGACTATTTGTACTTTTTGGTTTGTTTGTTTGTTCCTAAGTTCTAAAGTCGGCATTAAATCAGAATTAGCTTTTCTAGTTTTATATTTTTATAGTGCTTGTTATTAATGTGCACTTCATTATTTTGTAAAAAATAATTTGCCCTTATTATGTTTTATCCAACACTATAACCTTCTCTGCCCCCTCGAAATGACTTTTCTTTACTTTTGGTCATATGGATTGCCTTTAGGGCGGGACTATCAGGGCGTGTCTCATTTCTGTTCTATTTTGGGCAAAGTAGATGGGTTACAGCTGCGGGTATGCACATCAATATAGCATCATTTTTGTAAAACTTTATAACAGTAATTAATAGTAGACATTAATAAAATACCCTGTACAACTACTGTTTTCATGTTACTGTGACAGTAGGGGTAGATGTTAATGAAAAACAATAAATGGGAAATTTAATACATAATATAAATAATTCTTGTTTACTTCCGGCCACAACCGTATGTGATCTAGCAATAACCCTACTTTTGTCTACTTATCAGTCTTCCATCATTTTGTTAGCGATGCCTATCCTCCAATGATCCAATCAGTTCCTGAAGGTTTTTTTCTCATTTCAGAATCGTTTCAATTTGATATGAAAAACAGGACAATCTTAACATCTGTTTTATGGTGAATTTAAATGACAATATATTGTGTTTGGATGAATCTGAGTGTTTTACAGTGTTGCAAAAAACAACGACTTTAAAAAGTAAAAATAATAATAATAATGTATCTGTGTGGGTTAAGTTATTAAATGCTACCCTGCAGATTTTTACAGTGGTACATTTCTAAGAAAAAAAAAGGAAAGAAAAAAAGGCTGTTTAATCAACAGTCATAACTGAAAAAAGTTACATGACAAAAAAATGTCAAGGTGATTTTTTTACTTTAACTTATTTTAATAAGTAAATCAGGTTTCAACTAAAGTTATGCTGAATTATACGAAGTTTAACTTTATATTTTAAGTCAGTTTGATGTTGTTTGATATGACTATGAATGCTATTAACTAAACAAGCTTTTTAAAAGAGTGTAGCAGTAGATTATTAAACTGAAAAGAACATTTGTTGTTTTAAATAGTATTTCATTAATTTGTGATATCTAACTGCCTGGTATTAGTTAGCCTACTTTTATTATATTTTGATTAATTTATTAACGTTATACTTTAAGAATCATATAGTGATATTGAAGACCAACCTTTTTGTTTATTGAGAAGTCTATTATTTTAAGCATTAGTTTTTGTTTGCTTGTTTTTTTTATACCAGGAAACTGTAAATTACAACTTAGAATACAGTAAAAGAGAAGTTCTATTACACAATATTTACATTAGATACACAGGATAAAGAGCAAAACCCAAAAAAAAGTACATTAAAAATGAATCAAAAAAAAATTGCAAAAAAAGTATTAATCTTTATTTTTATAGTATAATTTTTATTTTACAATGTGGATTGTTTTACATAGAAGATTCTAGTGAAACCGTGTCAGTTCAGTTTTCAGAGTTTTAGTTAGCATTAAGTAGCATTAAAGATCATATTTACTAAGTGATTAAACTAAATGTTCTATTTCACATAAGAAGTCTATAAAATTATTTATTTTAAGCATTAGTTTTAAATAGTTTAATTATATAGTGACTACTGTGCATTGTCACGTTATCTGCGTTTCGTTGCCTAGCAATGACATTTGCAAACAAGTTGTTACCGTTACCGTGGCGAGCAGTTGTGCCGTCTGCGGCTGTCGTCCAACTGAGGGAAAAATAACGTTAATTCGCTGATAATCATGGCGTTACCAATGCTGCCTGGAAATTCAGTCAACAGAAACGTAAGTAATATCAGAAATCTAAAATAAATTCCTGTTATAAAAAGCCTTGTAGGACATTTCTAAGCTAACTTACATTGGTGCAAGAGCAAAAGTGCAATTTATCCTTTCGAAAGCACTTAATATAACGTTATGCGTTAACGTTATTATTTATGATTCAATATAAGTTAACTTTAAGCACAGTTTCGACGTCAGGTGCGATAAAAGTGGTCAGAGAAAATGACGATTTACCTTTTTGAACATACCATTGAACGAGATGGATAAAAAAAATGTAACTTATGTGTTTATTACACATTATGCATTAGTTCATTTGTTAGTAAGTAGGCAGTTCAATTGTTTAAACCACTAAAAGCAAATGAAGGAAACTGATCTAATATAATAACAGGTTAAATGGTCTGATATAGTTTGTCTTACACAATAATGAAAACAAATCTCTTTCCAGCTTGGAAAAGACAAATTTCACAAGTCTCAGCATTTTGATTATTCAAATGGAGTAGCTATGATGGTTGGGACAGAGAAGCCGGGCATTGGAGGAGATCTGCTCCTGGGACAGAGTGCAAGAGCCAAATATTCACGGTTTCCAAAAGGAGAGGGCAGTGGTGCTCCAGCATGGCTTGCCTTTGACAAACAGGTTTTTCATCATATAAGAATATAATATACCTATTTTTTCACCTAGTGCTTGGCAAAATATACAAATTTACCCCCCTTTATTTACCTACCTGAAGGTCCTGTGTTTTGATGCTTATTTCAATGAAGATGTTCCTCAAAGGAGGGAAGAAAAATATAGAGTACGAAAGTGCAAGATTTACTTCTACCTGGAGGATGACACCATACAAGTGGTGGAGCCAGAGTTCAAAAACAGTGGCATCCCACAAGGTGAACCATCAGAATCAAACATTTAGTTTCCAGATTAATGACAAACCAGTTAAAAACATCTTGTCTAAATTCAGCTGTTCTTCTTCTGTACAGGAACCCTGATTCGGCGCCACCGCATTCCTCTACCAGCTCCTAAAGATGATTGTTTCTACAATGTGCACCATTTCAACATCAACCAGGAAGTCGTGTTTTATTCCAGAAACTTTATGATCACAGACTGTGACCCTTTCACTCGCAACTTTTTGATAAAAATGGGAGTCCGACTGAATCCTCCTGCTTCCACACCAGCGGATCCCTATACTACCCTTCGACAAGAGGCAAGTGAGCACCAGGGATCTAAATAGCAATATCAGAACTTCCGTATTATAAAGTGTGTTTCCCCTGACAGTTGGAAGAGAACATGAAGCCACTGCGGCCGTATGAAAGACTGGATACCCTGAAGCAGTTTTTAGAGCATGACCGCCAAGTCCTGCGCTTCTACTGCTACTGGGATGATAGTGAGAGCATGTTTGGAGACCCTAGAGAGCTGATCCTGCATTACTTCCTGGCAGACGACACCATGGAAATGTACGAAGTTGTTCCTCCAAACTCTGGTCGAGACACTGTCCCTAAATTTCTGCACAGGGGCAAGCTTCCCAAGGTTAGTAAGAAACAGCACATTACTTTAAATATATATATATATATATAAACATATTAGAAAAGAACATATCTGTAAAGGAGAATCACATATATAACTAATGCATTGAGCAAAACTATTGCAAGTATAATAAAAAAACAGTTTACAAGGTACAAATTAATGGAGGCACAATGGTGCAGTGGGTAGCACATTCGCCTCACAGCGAGAAGGTCACTGGTTCAAGCCTCGGCTGGTTCAGTTGATGTTTCTTTGTGGAGTTTGCATGTTCTCCCTGTGTTCGCGTGGGTTTCCTCCAGGTGCTTCGGTTTCCCCCACAGTCCAAAGACATGCACATAGGTAAATTGGATGAGCTAAATTGTCTGTAGTGTATGTGTGTGAATAAGTGATGAGTTGCAGCTGGAAGGGTATCCGCTACGTAGAACATATGCTGGTTAAGTTGGCGGTTCATTCCGCTGTGGCGACCCCTTTTAATAAAGGGACTGAGCCCAAAAGAAAATGAATGAATGAGTGTACAAATTAGCATACGCAATGCTTTCTGAAGAATTGTCACACTAAAGGATGTATTCATTTCGTTTTAAAAGTTGACGTATCTCACAGGTGTTTTGTTTTGTTTAATTATGCTTTCAGATAGTAATATTAGACCTTGCTATATGTGCTGTCAACTTCCAATGTTGAACATCTCTACGGTTTAACAAAGTAAACTTAATAGACATGTTTAGTAGTTTAAAACAATAAATTTTAAGAAAATTATATATATGTACAGAAATAATTCCAGAAAGTAACAGAAATGTATTGCCAACTAAGGTTTTTGTACTGTAATCTTGTTAAACGTTTCGACACTACCTGACCAAAGTCGCCTATCCAAGTTTTAGGAACAATTAATAATAACTGGACTTCTAGTTGATCATTTGGTATCAGAAGTGGCTTATATGAAAGACAAAGACCTCTAGATTCATCTTATTTTACCAAAATAAAATATGATTATGCCTTGTTTTCTAATTATTTAATTAGGACAGTAAGGTCGACTTTCCTTAGACAAAATTCTTGTCACTTACAGGAATATTGTACAGTATAAACAGAACATTAACATGCACATACAATTAAATATAAAGAGTTCTAAATTTATAGATTAAAATAATTTAAAAATTAAAAAGTTTCTGATAATTTCAGTAATTTCAAACACTGAAAGATGTGGAATATGAAAACAAGTCTTTACAGTTGAATACAGTTTGTTCCACCTTTAGATGAGGCTAAGTGGTTATCAGTTCCTCTGTCCTCTTTTTCCCCCATCCTCTATGCCAAGCTTTTATCCAGACTGACAGGGCTGAAAGAACATCCAACTTCCCTAAAGCACTTTTCAGTTTCCTCCCTGCTTGTTTTTCAGTCTAAATTCATTATGAAGGAAGAATGATTTGTCCAGGTTTTTTTTTTTTCTATTGTAATGTTGCCTTGTCACACATTCTGTTGCCTTTCATTAAATGTCATCTGAAAAGGTTTACAGGAATCCCCCAATGAGAAAATAATTATCCCCAATAGCATATTTCTCTAGTCCATTAAGTTATAAAAAAATGCAGTCATTTTCTCCTGATTTCTCTAAACAGCATGCTCCTATTCCCAAACGTCAGCCTGGAGAAATTACAGACCGCACAGTCCTCAATGTATTTGGACCAGTCGGACAAGGAGGACGCTACATTTTGGACAGCCTCAAAGTAAGTTCTGATTAAAAAACAAACAAAAGTGCCCATAGTGAATGCCCTATAAACATAATTACTCAGTTTCCTTATAAATATGATTCAAATTAGTTTATTAGTCAATTGTTATGTAACTTTTTTCACTCACTGTTTACAGACTGGAGCATTGGAAGAAGAGTTCTATAAAGACTCTGATCTGACTATTGGAGCTGTCATTAATGTATGGGGTCGAAGGGTGTTAATATGTGACTGCGACTACTTCACTAAAGAGTATTATCGCTCTAAATATGGGATTGGTGAGTTACATCATGACTTCCGAAGGAATAGAATTTGTACTTTTATAGGTGATACTGGTGATGTTTCATAATTTGTGGTTAAATAGATTTGTCAAAACAATCACATTTTTATTCAAAGCAGTATATAAATAGGAATTTTTAAAAGTTTCTTTGTACAGTATTTTTATATATAGAAATATTTATTAATAACCACAATAAAGGAGCATATAAATAGATATTTTTCTTATTATCTCTTTATATAATTTATTTTGATATTATAAGAATTTAAATCTTACTTTATCTAGTCTTAGCTATTATTAGAATCTAATAATAACAAGAATAATATATTCAACCAACATTTGTGGTTTATTAGCTTTATTTTTATGAAATCATTTTAAATTAGAGTGAAAGCAATATATAAATATTTTTATAATATTTTTATATTTGTCATTAAATGCATATGATGGTGATTTTAATCTTTATCATAAACATCAGTGGTTTTATCTAAACTATAATCTGTACTGTTTGTAACTTCAGAACTCAAAAGAGTAAAGTCTCAAATCATTTTTTTTTTGCATTTTGAAGGATTAATAAACATATGTAAATCACCATCATTTATAATTTATGTTGAGTGGGTGTTGGAACCCCAAACTTTTAATGATTAATCGTGCAGCTTACACTGAATGCATTGATGCAGGCTAAACAAGTAGTAACAGCAAACACCTTTAATGAAACCCACCACATGCCGAATAGCCTACCACAACTTTTTCCATGATCATTATATTTTACAAGAAAGCCTACATGCTTTTATATATGTGATTTGAATGACACAAGAGGTCTCTGCGATCATTACATATTTAGGATTAATCTACCAGTAAAAAAAGTATTAATCAGCAGACCATGTGTGTTCCAAACGGTGGATTGTGATCCGTATGAATCATGAATCAACCGTGATCTGTTACACCCCTAAACTTTTGATTTTGATAGTATAAGAATAATTCTTTATTATTAATAATTATAACTAAATAATTGTCCTATATCAGGTTGCAGTAATATTAATAATAGTAATAATAACAACCTTAATATTTTCATAACTCTATATAGAACAAATAGTTTGGAGAATGTATTTTTATTTTCATTATATATATTATGCATAATATACATGTGCTTTTCAGTGGCTCAGTGGTTAGCACTGTTGCCTCACAACAAGAAGGTTGCTGGTTCGAGTGCCAGCTGGCCCAGTTGGCATTTCTGTGTGGAGTTTGCATGTTCTCCCTAAGTTTGCGTGGGTGTCCTTTGCATTCTCCCCTTTTCCCCACAGTCCAATGATATGTGGTATAGGTGAATTGAATAAACTGTAATTGTGTGAATGTGAGAGTGTATGGTTGCTTTCCAGTGTTGGACTGTGGCTGGACAGGCATCCGCTACATAAAACATATGCTGGAAAAGTTAGCGGTTCATTCTGCTGTGGTGACCCCTGATAAATAAGGGACTAAGCTATGGAAAATGAATGATGATTTTCAAAGGGAGGAGTTTGGCAGCGCTGTTACTGACCACATGATGTCAGCATTGAGTTTCATCTGTGACTCTGGCTCTGAACTTGGCTCTTGAACTGGCATTTATTTTGTTAGCTCCAAACAAACTCTCCACAGCTTGTGCATCTTGTGCTCTACTGCTTAATCTAATGAAGTGCAAAGCAAATCTACATACCCCGACCCCTCATTCTCTACACGCATCTCATCTGTGTGGTCTTACAAGCTGTTCGTTATTTTCAAAGTCTTCCTGCCATAAATCTCACATCTCTATGAGAGACTACTGCTCCCCAGTGTGCTTTCATCCCGTTGAAAAACTGTCGGAATAACACGCACTGAATGAAAGGAGCAGAACTGATTGACACCTCAAGGTGACTCAGTTTTTGGACAGCAGATATGAGCAATGGCTAGCCAGGCCTCTTTATCTTCAAAAGCCCGGACATCAGAAGCACACAAGCTCCGTGTCAACGGTAACACAATACGGGTGCGCGTGCATCTGTCTGCCGTGGCGTTATGCCGACTCAAGAGATCATAGCATTAGTTACACATGAGCCTAATGGAGCCGGGTTGACACCGGCTCTGATGAAGCACTTGTTCACTTCTCAAGGGTCAAGAGGCAATAGACCAAATTCATATGGCTAAACGTAACTCTGTCTGGCTTCTCTTTCGGTTTTCAGTCTAATTAGGGCACTGTTTACATCTAGGGCCCTACCATATACCTGGTGCAGTGCAGTGCCAGATGTGAGAGAAGTGTTTTTTGCTTGTTTCAGCTTGGCACAGGTATGCATTTGCACCAATTTGTGTGCTGCTTTGAAAAGGAGCTGTGTTAGGGAGCATTGCTGCCCCCTTGCTGTTCTGAGGCAACTGAAACTGTGGCATTGACTAACTAAAAGCTAGTCTAATGTCAATGATACAGTTTTTTGTTGTTGTTGTTGTCATATAAAGTGCATGTTGGTGATAGGTGGGGCCAAATTGTAAGTCCACTTTGCTTATTATCCACACAGGTATGCACAGCAGCACACAAATATCTTTAATATGCAAGATTAAAGGATTAAAATATAAAACATTATTATTTTCTACATAAATATAAAATTAGCTACCTCTTTCCAAACCTTCACCTCAGAGGGCTTAGGTGGAATTCAGCTCATTACATAGATGGCCGCCCAGTTTAACATTGTGCAGGAGAAGATACATTTCCTCACTAGTGAAGCATTCCGTTTTCACCATTGCACCTAGTTAATAGCAAATGTGCCAAAAAATTTCCAAATTTGTCAAATGACTATAAAATAAATTTAAAACCCTGTACTCTAATCTACCCTAAATGTTGTTGTGGGACAATGTGAGAGACAATGGTAGCATGTCCTTAACTATATCTCCAGATATTTTTTGTTTAATTCTTTCTGAGTGTTTGAAGTGGAGAAAAATTAAGTTTTATTTGGCGTTGTGTCTTTGTCTCCTCTTTAGATTATAATTACTTGTCAACGATGCAGAGACACTGTTTTTCCTGGGCATATATAAACATTCCTGCCTTTCACCTTAACAAGGGAAAAGTAGTGCTTATATTTCCAGTTGGCAAACGCTATCTTTGAACTTGTTGGACTTGCCATTGTTCTGACTCTGGACATTGATGTGTGTTTTACTGACTGTTTGTGTGAGAAAGTGGTAGAAATTGTATTAAAGAGATGTTTTTAAATGCCAAGTGTAGATGACAACATGTCTCCCATTTCACAGAGGACTTCCCATCTATCTCATACAAGGCCTCACCTCCACCTAAACCAGCTAAGCAGGTGCCACCCTACACTGGATTTGGATCTGAGGAGGATTCACTGTGTTCTTGCCAGGGTTTGCTGCCTAAACCCCCACAGAAGGATTTCAAGAAGCTTATGGAGAAAGACAGGTAGCCAGCACTATTAATCTCCCACAGGATGCTTCCCGCTCATTTCAAACCATTAATATTATATCAAAACAACATGTCAGACCCATACTGGCTTTCTGATCATTCTGACAGAAGAGTTTAGACCCTTGTCAATCCCACTAAAATCATCTTTTAGTTAAGTGCAGCTCTTTGCACTTGGAAGTGGATGAACACATGCCCTTTATAAATAATCAAAGGCTTAAATGCAATCTCATGATACTTCTGATGTAAAACACGCTTTTGCAAGTCGGTTTATTATTATACATAGTTTTCACAGAGCTTTGCTTCCAAATATAATCCCAGAACCAGTATCACACGGCAAATTATTCACTCGCTCAATTTGCTTTGGACAATACTGCGTTAGACATTGGCAGGCATAGGGGTTGAAGGGAACAAGAAGGCTCTGCTAAATAAAGGATTGTTTTAAAGATGGTAAACTCAAAGCAGATAAGTGACCGGAGTAAAGCCACAGTGAATAAGCAAGGAAACTTCCTGAATGGTCCTCTCGGCCTAGTGAACTAAATATTTAAAGAACAGTCACTGTAAGATGGAAAGAGGACATGTCTTTCTGAAAGAGAACTTTCTAGTAAAGTAGAGGTCTGTTAATATAGTAAGCATATAAGAATACTTGGCACAAAAATGTTGCATGCAAGTAATTTCAAAACAGATGGTGATAGGCTGTGAGTGATACAAACAGCTTAAAGGGATTCACCCAAAAAAGGGAGGTCACCAAAAAATGAAAATGATCCCATGATTTACTCACCCCAATGGGCATTATAGGTGTATATTAGGGCTGTGCAATATGGCAAAAGAAACATATTAAGATTTTCAATATCAACAATATTGTGATTTCGATTTTATGACAGACTTAATCTGTGTTTAGTGTGAATCTGAAACATTTCAAAAGAAGAACGTTTTGATCTTTATCAAAGACCTGTAACATGTCTCTAAAACAGGCATAAATAAAGCAAAAATGACCTAGTAAGGCTGAAGAAAAGTGTCTCAAGAACAGACCTATGGCAAAACGTGTATGTGAGAGTGCGCATCATCAAACTCAAGTAATGCCGTGTTCAGACTGCATCATTTTAGCGACAAATGCCTCAAATTACAGTCAAATAAGTGCTTGTTCATGCAAGTAACAGTCACACAGTGTGAACTATCAAAGATGCAATCTGAGAGAATTGCCGATGAGTTGCAGACACCCTTGAGATAGTTGGAATGCTAAATATCTGCAGCTGTCTGCGATTCAAATCCTGCCGTGTGAAGTGTGTTCTGATCAAAAATAACATCGCCGATTACCTACTGCCAATGTAAGAGCAGCATCCACTTGTATGGGTATCTGCCGGCCAGTGGGAGGTTGAGAAGGAAATTAAAAGCGCTCATTTTCAGTTTATTTGGATCCAAGAAAGGAGGAAAACCTAGTGTAAAGTTTGCAGGAGCACATATCACAACCAGAAAAAAGTTGAGGAGAAATTGCTAATTCCCTTCAAAAGCCATGTGAGCAAAATAAGTACATTTCAGCAATGACAGAATTGCTAACCTAGGTAGTCATGCAATGTGAAAATCATGTAGTCTGAACTTGGCATAAGGCACCGATGTTCTGCCTGACCAGATTTTAGAAGTAGTTGTGCGTGTATTCACAGATTTGTTTTGTCATGCATAGATCATTGACCTCTTTGTGATGCTGCCATGAAATAGGCCGTTCACATTTTGCGTCTTTTGATTGCACAAGTACACTATTTCCCATGGAGGTGTGTGGATTGTGTGCACACGCTTTTCGACTTACAAATTACCTGGTTCTGCCATACATCAGCCTTCCTGTATCCAAAGTAACTTAATCCAAAACTACAGATGTTGACTTTTTTTGACACCAAGTCGCCCTGTGCTGAAATTATAATCCCTGTCTACCAGGGGTGTACAAACTCAGTCCTGGAGGGTCAGTGTCCTGCTGAGTTTAGCTCTAACTTGCTTCAACACACCTGGCAGGAAGTTTTTAGTATTCCTAGTAAGAGCTTGATTAGCTGGCTAAGGTGTGTTTGATTAGGGTTGGAGCTAAACTCTCCAAGACACCGACCCTCCAGGACTGAGTTTGGACATCCCTGCTGTATACACAGGCTATTCAGTCTGGTGTTTACACGCGTTATGACTGGGTCAAATTCCATACTGCAGGAAGATTGAGCTGTAAGGCGATTTAGAAATCACGCATGTCCAAATCTCGATTTCGATATGATTTTAATTAATCGCACAGCCCTAGTTTATATGATTGACTTCTTTTAGACAAATCCAATCTGAGTTATTTAAAAAAAACTATACTGGACTTTTCCAGGACTACAATGGCCATATTTGGCTGATTATTATCAGTAGTCTACTAAAGTGCATCTATCCATAATAAAATAAAGTCCCACACGGTGTTCTGGGAGGTGAATAAAGGTCTCCTTTACTGAATCCACTAATTTTTGTGAGAAAAATATCCATACTTTAAAAACCATTTTGTGTAACTTCCAGCCAGCATCCTCTATCATCTTCTTCATTTTTGAGGTGCATGTTTTGGTGCATTAGCACCATCAGATGGACAGGACTGTGTTTTGTCTGTCTTTCCTCCCTGTTTCTGCTTTTATTTCAACTTCACACTCAAGAGACAGAAAAACGCAGTCCTGTCCAGCTGATGGCACTAAAATGTTTGTTATAACAGCACAAACCAGCACAAATCAGGCACAAACGAATGACACTAGTTTGGTGTGATTTCGAGAAAATGGGGTGGAGAGTGATGCCACGGCTCCCGAAATATTGTTTATATCTAAACGAGACAAACAGATATAGTGTTTGTTTTAACGGCACAAATCCAGCACAAACAACCTGTGCTGATTTGAAGTGATTTGAGCAAGATGGGGTGGAAAGTGACATTGAACGGTCAAAAGAAATAATGATTAATATCTCAGACCCCAAACCAACACAAACATTAATTCTTGCACAAATATAGCACAAACGAATGGCATAGTTTTGGGGATTATTTGTTTTTATGGGGTGCCAACTTCATGGAGGTCAATTTGATTTGATAAAAAAACGAAATTATATGCACGAATAAATATTTTTCATTTTTGGGTGAACTTACCCTTTATTGAATGTCTAAATCTCCTAATGTTCACATTATTAGATAATAAAATAAGAACATTTGAATGAGATCTGCTAATCAGCTCAAACAAACTGTGCAATAGGCGAAATATTCTCCAACATGGCCCTGAAAAAAATCCAATAAACGTAATGAATCATTTAATTTCATTATGTTTACTCGTAATGATCTTATGCCAGTTATTGTTCTCAATGTAAGGCAAGGTCTGGTGAGCAACGTGCTGAGATTTGTGGGGAAAATGCTGACAGACAGTCCTGTCGACAAGGAACGTGTTTTTATCATATGCTTCTACCTTACTGATGACACAATAGCTGTCTTTGAACCTCCACAGAGAAACTCAGGTATTGTCAGCCTATTCATATAAATTCAGTTTAGGAAAATAAACATTTCAATTTTACTGTATGTTTTTATATTGCTCTTGTGATGAAGGTGTGATCGGGGGTAAGTTCTTAGAGAGGGGGCGAGTGAAGAAGCCAGGACAGGAGCTGTTTAAAAGTGAGATGTCGGAGTATTTCACTGCTCAGGATTTGTATGTTGGAGCTCATCTGCTTCTGAACAGTCAACCTTTCCAGCTGGTGGATGCTGACGATTTTACATTCAGCTATATGGAGCAGCATGCAGATGAGGTAACACACAAAAACCATCTCGTTGCTTCAATTTTCAGCCTGTTTTAATTAATGTTGCTGAGCAAAATATCAAGATATATGTCTCTATATAGAATCTCCATTAAAAGTCCTTCACCTATTTTTCTCAATTATTTAGTTCCCCAAGGCCAACATTGGCACCATCATTAGCAAGGTAAAATCCATCAGTGAGGAACAGCAGAAGAAAGTAAAACAGTTTTTCACCATGAGTGACCCAAGCAGCACTGGCTCTCTTCCATATGAGTCATTCAGGTAAGGAGCTGGCCAAAAATACACAAATAAAAGACACATTACATCTTGTTCCCGCCTGCCATATATTATATAGATATACCGAGTGAGATTCTGGATCAGTTTCACTGATTGTGAGATTTAATTATGGGCAATGTTATTTGCAGAAGTTTTCTTTAAAGGGGTTGGTGCAACAGACCTGCAGGGAAAAAATGTTGAGATTACATTTGAGTTAAGCCGCAAACATTTAGATGACCAGCAGGTTTTGTGCATTTGTGATCCACATACAGTACCCGCTGTCAGATTTAAAGCACTAAAACCAGCAAACAGTGTAAAACGGGTTGACATGATTGATGTATAGAGGACAGGGATATTAACACTCAGAAAATAGAGATAGAAATTAAGAGCAATAAAATGTGACAAGTTCAGTTGGTCTAACATGTTTTATAAGCTTTTCTCAAGCTATGAACTGATAAAAACACAATGAGCAATTGAATGCTAATTGCACTGACCAAACAGAACCAAATTACTAATGTAAACACTTTCATTACTACATTACATCATTACTACATAAGCTTTAAGTACAAAGCTGGTAAAATGAAATGCAGAAAAAGCCTTGTTTTTGTGATCTAGGTGGGTGTTAATGGGATGTGACATCACGTGAAAACTCTGAACAGAACTGACAGGAAAAATCAAGGACAAGTCATGCCAGGTTAAGCATGGATTATGTTTAGAAATAAGTGAACTCTATAGTTAATACATTACTACTGGGTATTTTAAGTTACAAAACAACAAGTTGCTTTAATTAAATTACTTAAAAATTAACTCGTCACTGAAAAACTACAGTAACGAATTAGGTGATTTAATTAGTTACTTGCAGTATTCATTCATTAATTAATTTTCTGTTCGGCTTAGTCCCTTTATTAATCAGGGGTCGCCTCAGCGGACTGAACCACCAATTTATCCAGCATGTGTTTTACGCAGCTGATGCCCTTCCAGCTGCAACCCATCACCGGAAAACTTATATAGTTTAGTAAATACTGAAAATACAGTTGAAGTCAGAATTATTAGCAATAATTCAGTTTTTGGTGTACTATCCCTTTAATCACTGTCATGTAATGTTTCAAAGACACATGCATATACAGTTGAAGTCAGAATTATTAAACCCCCTGAATTATTAGCCCCCCTGTTTATTTTTTCCCCAATTTCTGTTCAATAGAGGGATGATTTTTTAACACATTTCTTAACATAATAGTTTTAGTAACTGATCTCTAATTACTGATTTATTTTATCTTTGTCATGATGACATTAAATATTTTACTAGATATCTTTCAAGACACTTCCATACAGCTTAAAGTGACATTTAAAAGCTTAACTAAGTTAATTAGATAAACTAGGCAGGTTACAGTAATTAGGCAAGTTATTGTATAATGCAGAGGTGTCAAATCCAGTTCTTGGAAGGCCGCAGCCATGCATAATTTAATTCCAACTTTGCTTCAACACACTTACCTGTATAGGTTTTAATCAAGCCTAAAGGACTCAGTTAGTTTGATCAGGTGTTTGATTAAGGATTGGCACTAAAATGTGCAAAGCTGCGGCCCTCTAGGAACTGGATTTGATGTGGTATAATGGTTTGTTCTGTAGACTATAGAAAAATATATAGCTTAAAGGGGCTAGTAATTTTGACCCTAAAATGGTTCATAACAAATTTAAACTGCTTTTATTCGAGCAGAAAAAATATTATCAGGCCTACTGTGAAAATTTACTTGCTGTGTTAAACATAATTTGGGAAATATTTTAAAAGAAACAAAATTCAAAATGGGGCTAATAATTCTGACTTTAACTGTACATTCAGGAGTTCTGTAAGTCAGTTCAGAAAAGCAGATTATTTGTATTTTGCTATATTAATAGATTTTGCATATTAATTATATTTTAAACTAAAGGTTATGCTTATTAATACAGCTGCATTCTTAAAAAACACTGATTTGAGTCAGAAAACAGTTCAGGAAAATATATAAATTCAGAAAAGCAGAATAATACATATTCCAATTTTTTTATTTATTTTTTTATTTTTACAAATTTCAATTTTCAAATTTTCCCTATTTAGGTATTTTGTAAAAAATAATTATTTTTCAGCTATAGAAAGCTACATTTGTCAGACAATTACACATGCTGAAGAAACAATTAAAATGTTAATAAAATATATTGCGTGTACTCTATGAAAGCAGATGTCTGAAACAATTCGAAATACTTTTGTAATTCTGATTACTAAAGAATGTGATGCTTTTTATTAAAATGCTTAAGCCTTTCATGTTTTTATTAAGCGAAAAGAATGAAGTTATTTTTATTCTATATGAATTGAGTTTTTTTTATTCAGTCATTTAATTCTTTATTTAGTAATTAAATTACTTATCAGACATAGTAATTAGAAATGTTATTCAAATACAATTTAAATAATGTAATAGCTGCCAATTATTTACTTTTTTAATTTAACAAACATATCACTGTTTTGTCACAGAAAAAGCTGTGGGTTACCTCTTCAGTTTGAGACAGTGATTGAGTAAATGTCTGTGTGGTTTCCAGGACTCTGTTGGCAGATTTGGACGTGGAGTTGTCCGAACATGAGATCATGACACTGGGTCGTGTTTATTCGGTGCGGCAGCAGCCAGAGGTGAACGTGGGTCTCATGCTTGCTGTGGCTCAGGATCATCTGAAGAAGAAAAACTTTGAGAAGTTCTCAGAAATGATCCAAGCTTTCACACATGAGGACCGGGACAGGTATAGTTTGATCATTGAAAATAATACATACATTTTTTAGCTTATTAATACAATTTCAATCAAAGATACATTCTAATTAATTTTAAATAAGCAAAGTGTGGGGCAAAGATTAATTACAATTAATTGCATCCAAAAGAAAAGTTAGTTTTGACATAATTTATGCATAAATTAAATATGTGTATTATGTATATGTGATATGTATATGTGTATATGTGATATACACATAAATAAATAAAATCCTAACTATACTAAACATATTTATATATTTATAATATAATGTGTATTATATACATGCATTATTCATATCTAAATATAAATAAACATTTTCGCAAACATATGCCTGTATGTGTGTATTTATATATACATAATAAATATACATAGTACACACTTATACAGCTGAAGTCAGAATTATTAGCCCCCCTTTGAATTTCTTTTTGAAATATTTCCCAATATATGTTTAAAAGAGCAAGGAAATTTTCAGAGTATGTCTGATAATATTTTTTTTCTTCTGGAAATTCTTATTTATATAATATCGGCTAGAATAAAAGCAATAAAAAAAAACATTTTACGGTTAAAATTATTAGCCCCTTTAAGCTATATTTTTTTTCGATAGTCTACAGAACAAACCATTGTTATACAATAACTTGCCTAATTACCATAACCTGCCTATTTTACCCAATTAAGCCTTTAAATGTCACTTTAAGCTGTATAGTAGTGTCTTGAAAATTTTCTAGTCACATATTATGTTCTGTCATTATGGCAAAGATAAAATAAATCTGTTATTAGAAATGAGTTATTAAAACTATTATGTTTGGAAATGTATTAAAAAAATCTTCTCTCCGTTAAACAGAAATTGGGAAAAAAATAAACAGGGACTAATAATTCAGGGGGGCTAATAATTCTTCAACTGCATATGAAATGAAAACAAACTTATTTTTATTTGTGATTAAACCAGTTCTTAGCATTTTATAAAATTAAAATGTATCTTTTATCACATTTGTATCAATGAGCTAAGAAAATATGTATTATTTTTATATTGTCTAATTTTTTTGGAAGTCACTGCATTTAAATATTTAATCTAATGAAATGAAATACTATCTGTGTTCCATTCTATACTTCATCTTCAATATGACCGCATGCATAAAATCATGTATAAAATCAACACTGACATAAACATGCCATCATGCAAAACCACGAAAGCATGTCACACGTTCTTCAGGGACACAAACTCACAGTTCTTCAGAGTTACACAGTCACCCTTAACAATCACGCAGAGGCAGAATAAGCATCAATCTGCTTTAGATTGAGGGGGTGCGATTAGTTCCAGCGGCTCAACTGAAGCATTGGAAACAGATGAAGACCTGTGGCTTGTTGCAGGCAGGGGAAATGGATGAGGAAGAAAGCCGACAGGTCAACGTGCTTGTCCTGTTTATGTGGCCCTGTGGAAAGTCGACTTATTTTACGATGTTCAATATGTCCGGAAAATAACCAAGCTGGAATGTGTGCAGGTCCAAACTGCGTTGGAAGACTGTAAACTGCGTGACTATTTGTGAATCAGAAATGTATTTATATGGTTTATGATGTGGAGAAGTTTGGGGTCAGTAATACATTTATTTACTTTATGAAGACAGTAAAGATTGAAATAGTTAATAATGGTTAATTGTTTTAAATAGCTTTTTGCTTTTTAACCTTTAATTCATTTAATTATCTTATACAAAAAATGATAATGTGAAACTGAATACTGACTGCTCAGATTCAGTTTTGCTGTTATATTTAATTGATTAACTGAATTAATGTGCTGTTAAATGTTTCGATTATCGTTTGAATTTGAATTAGTTTTTTATCTTGAGTTTTTAAGTTAAAGTTCAAGTCATTTTGTTTTTATTATTTTTTATTTTAATATTTTTTGGTTTAATTATTTTATTTTTAAATGTAATTTTGTAAATGTAAAGCTGGTTGTACTCATTCCAGTTTTACTCATCTTTTTATTTGTTTTTGTATTAATATTTCTTTACTGATTTATTATTTTCTTTTTTGTTATAGTTTTAAGAGAAACAAAAAATTAAATATATTCTAGTTTATTTAATTAAAAGTAAACAAAAATGATCTTCGAAATAGTTTTTTTGTGCTTTATTTTTTTAGTTTAAGTTAGTCATTTTATTAGTTTCTATGAGCTTTAAATATTTTTAGTTTTATTTTTAATTAACAAATGAATTATGAAATATAATTATTAGTTTAATTTAGCTTTAATGCAAGATAAAATAAAATGGGAAACATTCAACATTAGAGTAAAATGTTTCTAATAAATTACAATACATGTTTGTTTTAATGGAAAGTTTGTCATTTTCTTTGTATAGACCATTTTGAGGGATGTAAACAAAAACAATGGTCCCAACGTTTCTATATTTTCCTAAAATCCAAAATGAGCCACATATTTATGAATAATGTTATGATAGCTGTTTTATAGGTCAGTTGGCATTTCTGTGTGGAGTTTGTATGTTCGCCGTGTTCGCGTGGGTTTCCTCCGGGTGCTCCGGTTTTCCCCACAGTCCAAAGACATGCACTATAGGTGAATTGTGTAAGCTGAATTGTCTGAAGTGTATGTGTGTGAATGAGAGTGTATGGATGTTTCCCAGTGATGGGTTGCAGCTGGAAAGGAATCCGCTGCGTAAAACATATGCTGGATAATTTGGCAGGTCATTCTGCTGTGGTGACCCTGGAATAATTAAGGGACTAACCTGAAAAGAAAATGAATAAATGAAAAGCTGTTTTAAAATTGAGTTATGATTGAATTGCTTGCTGTTACAGTTATGAACTAGTTTGATAACAAACAGGAAATGTTCATGGGCCAATGACATGATTACATTGAAATGGTCTATAATAACATTATGTAACAGAGGCCAACTAGCGACCTCACTCCTCTGACCTCACTCACCTCCTCTGACACCAATTCGATGCCTGTTCAGACTGGGTTTGGTCCAGTAGGACCTATGAGTTACACATGGGGGCTCGTCCGAAATGGGATTGAGGTTTAGTGGTGTGAGTGTAACGGAGACCCGCTAGCGAAGTGCTATGCAGGTAAACCTCACTCCTCTGACCTCTGAAGGTTCTCTAGTGACAGACACTAGAGGCCATGCTCTTTAGCCTCCTTGTTAGAGCAACCAACTCCCATGCAAAGAATTGCTGGTTTAATCCCAGCTCAGACTGGGTTGGGTGCAGTAGGATTGGTAGGTTACACATGGGGGCTCATCTGGGATATGAATGAGGTTTAGGGGAGTGAGTGTAACGGAGGCCAGCTAGCGATGTGCTATGCAGGTAAACCTCACTCCTCTAATCTAGTGACAAAGGCTATAGGCTATGGTCTTTAGCATCCTTGTTAGAGCAACACACTCCTATGCAAAGAATCGCTGGTTCGATCCCAGCTTGGACCGGGTTGGGTGCAGTAGGACCGGTGGGTTACACGTGGGGGCTCCTCGTGTTGGTACTCCGGTTTTCACCACAGTCCAGAGACATGTGCTGTAACTAAATTTATTACACTAAATTGGTCGTAGTGTATTAGTGTGTTTGAATAAGTATGAAAGGGTTGTGGCTGGAATAGTTAGTGGTTCATTCAGCTGTGGCGACCTCTAAAATAGTTACTTAAGCCGAAGTAAAATTAATGAAGCCAAATCTGGGGCTAATCTAACAAAATATCTTACATTAGAGGTACAAAAATGACTAAACCCAAATTTATATGTTAAAGAAAAATATTAAATACAAATTTTAAAGATCAAGAGAAATATAAAATATATATAAAAACATTTTTCATTTTATTTAAAGTAAAACAAAAGTGATTTTATCTTTAGTTACTATAATAACCCTGACTCATTTCTCTTTTTGTCCACTCATTTGTCTTTGTAGATGTGGCCAGCTCTCGTCTAAAGAGGCCCGGATCATCTGTAAGGCTTTTCGACTGCCCCTGTCTGATGACCTGCTAAGAGCCCTTCTGGAGAAGTAGGGTCAACAGAGCACAACCCTCATTCATTATCCGTGAATCATTTCACCACAACGCCTCTAAATCTCCTGCGTCTCTCATGTTCACATCCAGGTTTGCAGGCGAGTCAGAGAAGATTGACTATCACGCTTTTCTATCCGGAATCAACTGGAGAGAAAACCCCGTCCCCGCTGTGCTTCCAGAGGACACTGTAAAGGTGAGATTGAATGAAGAATGTTATTAAAGTAGTTCATTTGGTCTAAATATGCATTCATGCATTAGGTCGATGCTTTTATCTAAGGTGACTTGCGTTGCTATAAAGGTACATGTTTCATTAGTGCTTGCATTCACTGGAAATTGAACCCAAAAGCTTCACATGCTCTGTTTGAGCTCTAGGAAACCTAAATGCTATATTTTTAAATATGCAAAAAAGGCAAAACATTTATTTTGTAAAATATATTTAGCAGATATATTTACACAAATATATTTTTTTAATATACATTTTTGGCGCTATATATATATATATATATATATATATATATATAAACAAACTATAATTTTTCGGCACTTAGTCGGCGCAATAGCCTAGTGGTTGGCGTGCCGACATATGGTGGGGTGGCGCATCGGGGCGTCGCGAGTTCGTATCCCGGCTCGACGACATTTCCCTACCCTACCCCCCCTCTCTCTCTTGCTTCCTGTCTCAATGCTGTCCTATCTGATAAAGGCCAAAAAAAAAAAAAAAAAAAACACTTTTCAGCACTTAGAAAATTGATATTCCCTATTTATTTTCTAAGATGGATAAAAACTAATGTCTAAAATATCTAAAGCAAGGAACATACTTGAAAAATAATAGTAAAAAAATTAAATAAACTATTTTTTGAAGACAAAAATTATATCTACAGTTAAAGTCAAAATTATGACTCCTCCTGTGATTTTTGTGTTTTTCTTTTTCAAATAGTTCTCAAATGATGTTTAACAAGGAATTTTTTTAACAAATTTTGGATCAATATTATTAAGCAATTTTTTTTTCTGATTGTATACAAAACAAACCGTCGTTACAGGGGCATTCATGTCAAAAGCGTTCACGTTTTACCAGATTCGGCACAGAGCATATTAGGTAATGTTTCATGTCAACATCGATACAAACAGGCAAAAGAGCTGGATGAATGCGATAGTATGCGAAGGTTGAATTAGGTTTTAAATACATGCTAATTTTACTGCATTTTGTAATTTAGAGATTTAATAAAATTTATTTACTGAAATAAGTTACAAAATGCAGTATAATTAGCACGTATTTAAAACTCATTTTGTAGACCAAAAAGAAAGAAAGAAAGAAAGAAAGAAAGAAAGAAAGAAAGAAAGAAAGAAAGAAAGAAAGAAAGAGAGCCATGACCGTATGGGAAGCTTTATGTTCTGTCACCAAACACAGAGTTTAAGATGTGTTTTGCTGAAACAGCCACATGCACATGACAGTGTTAGTGTCAGGGTCCAGGCCCTGGTCACCTGCGGGCCCCACAGGCTTCAAGCAGCTCCAAGCCTCATCTCAAGTAAATCAGCCTAGGGAAAAAACCCACTCAACAACTACTCTGAAGTGGAGCTTTTATTACAGCGCAGTAATTTCGCATGCCTCCTTGGAGCCTAAGCAGAACCATCTGCTCACTTTGACTCGCATTGAGGAGACCTCCAGTTTTGCAAAGGCAAGACTCTGCAGGTGAACAAGAGGAAAAACATTAACTAATGCTTATCTTCATATTAGCCCAACTGATTGATTACATTAGGAACTGCAAATTTGTTTAGTATTTTTTCTAAAATGTGGTTTAAATATGCAAATTGGACATTGCTGAATGAAGATTTCTAGTTAAAAACACTGGAGAAAATTTGGTTCAAAATGTTAATTTTTAGATTTTTTGGGGTCAAAAAATTTTACTAATAGGATTTTTGTAGAATAATATTTTGCATATAATTAGGCATAGTATGAACATATCCCTCTGTAAAAACCTTCAGAATACAGATATGAATAAAACGGACATTTGGTGAACGTATTGCTAAAGTGGAGATCTATTATTTAGTGCAAACACCTTTAAAACTGTTTTGAAATTTAAGTTTACAAACAAATTCTAAAGTGCGACTGTAAAAAGATTAATGACAAAGACAAGCTGACACTTTAAATTGACTTAATTTTTATAATTATGCACATAGTTAATTTACTTTACAGTTATAAAGTAAACTAATTATTTTTAAAGTGCAGATAAATAATGTTTTACATTTGTTTTCTATTAGCCTGAAGCACTTGATGAAATCTCAAAAACTGAAAGATGAATGAAAAAAGAAAACCTTTTTCCCCTGCAGTGTCTCGCCATAATTAACCAGCAGGGGGCATGAGCTCTCGATTTGCCCCTATCCCTGTTCCATACACTGTAAAAAATGCTGGGTTCCACGTAACCGGCTCGTTTTAAATAAGTAGTTTAAACAATCAACAAATGTTATTTTTTTGTGTATGTGACGATTCTTTTTCTACATTTCAATATCTAGATTTCACTTCTAAGTTATGGGAACTTTAATTTCTTTTCAAAAGAATTTGTTGATTGCTTAGTTAAATGGAAATTTTCCTATAATTCTCACAAAGCATCATGGGGCTAGCATCATGGATAGTTGCGTTCTGCTATATTTTCCATTTTATCGCGGTGTGGAGGATTGGATGAAGCAATTTGTATCCATGCAGAAGCAAGATTTATCCATGAGAAGCAAAACAGACTGCCATTCTTTGTTTTGTTTTTCTTTCTCTTTTTTGATTTGCTTGTTCATTTTCTGTAGCTCATTTCACATTGTTTATTGACTGTTAAATTTGCCAGTTTCCAGCCATTTCCCGTAGCCCTCATTGAACCTAAACTGGCACTCATCACAATGGTGAATTACCTTGCATTTTTTACATGCAAAGGCGTACCTCAAAAACACTGTGAAATGATTGATCAGGCCATATACTCATTCTAGTCTAGTGTATATAGTCATTTTTTATAAAAATCACATGAAGAATTATATACTCACAGGCCACTTTATTAGGTACACGTGTCTACCTGCTCGTTAACGCAAATTCCTAAGCAGCCAATCACATGGCAGCAACTCAATGCATTTAGGCATATAGACATGCTCAAGATGATCTGCTGCAGAATGTAGAGAGAAGGGTGATTTAAGTGATTTTGAACGTGGCATGGTTGTTGGTGCCAGATGGGCTGGTCTAAGTATTTCAGAAACTGCTGATCTATTGGGATTTTCATGCACAACCATCTCTATGGTTTACAGAGAATGATCTGAAAAAAGAAAATATCCAATAAGCAGCAGTTCTGTAGGCGCAAATGCCTTATTGATGCCAGAGGTCAGAAAAGAATGACCAGACTGGTTTGAGCTAATAGAAAGGCATCAGTGACTCAAAAAACACTTGTTACAACCGAGGTATGCAGAAGAGCGTCTCTGAATGCACAACACGTCCAACCTTGAGGCAGATGGGGTACAGCAGCAGAAGACCACACCACGTGCCACTCCTGTCAGCTAAAAACAGGAAACTGAGACTACAATTCACACAGGTTCAACAAAATTGGACAATAGAAGACTGGAGAAACGTTGCCTGGTCTGATGAGTCTCGATTTCTGCTGCAATATTCGGATGGTAGGGTCAGAATTTGGCGTCAACAACATAAAAGCCTGGATCCATCCGAGCTCGTATCAATGGTTCAGGCTGCTGGTGGTGTAATGGTGTGGGGAAATTTTCTTGGCAAAGTTTGTGCCCGGCAATGTTAATGCCACAGCCTATCTGAGGATTATTGCTGACCAGGTCCATCCCTTTATGACCACAGTGTACCTATCTTCTGATGGCTACTTTCAGCAAGATAACGTGCCATGTCATAAAGCGCGAATCATCTCAGACTGGTTTCTTGAACATGACAATGAGTTTACTTTACTCAAATGGCCTCCACAGTCACCAGAAAACAATCCAAAAGAGCACCTTTGGGATGTGGTGGAAAGGGAGATTTTCATCATGAATGTGCAGCCAATACATTTGCTCCAACTGCGTGATGCTGTCATGTCAATATGGACCAAAATCTCTGAGAAATATTTCCAGTACCTTGTTGAATCTATGCCACAAAGGATTACAGCAGTTCTGAAGGCAAAAGGGGGTCCAACCTAGTACTAGTAAGGTGTACCTCATAAAGTGGCCGGTGAGTGTATATACTTACTATAGGCTATAATTTACAAGGTGACCAGATCCTTGTGATGTTTAAATATAAATATGCTGGACAAAATATTTTGATCTATAAACTATTTTTACACTTAATGACATTGTAGTCAAATTCTTTTAGTAGTAAATCATGGTAAAATGTATGATATTTGTGATGTATTTGTTGGGGGGTTGTGAAATTTCGCTAAAATATATACATTTTGTGTTTCTACTTACTTTTAATTTTGCTTTAGTTTGTTATTTTAACTATTTTGTTTTAGTTTCTATTAATAAAAATATGTGTAACTATTTTAACTAAAAAAAACTCTAAAAAATACAAACATTTCTTGTCCTTTGATACGCAAGAGTTTGAGAAGCAAGAGAAAGTTATGAGTTTGAACCATTTTCACAGTTCAAAAGTGTGTGTATATGATTACACTTATTTATGACAGCATGTCAGAATATGATCTAGCGTATTTCATCACACTACAACATTTGCTACGTTCAAAACACACAAAACTGTCCCCCTTTTTGAATTCATAGTCAATAACATTGAATATTCCAATGATGTATAGACTGCTGAACTAAAAATGTCCCCCGTTTTGGTTTCACAAATCTGGTCACCTTAACATATTGAGCAATAAAAATCTTATCTGCGGCAATGCTTTCTAAAAGACGATTAAGGCTCTGATTTACTGAAGGACGCAACGTCGTTAAACATTTGTCATACATTTTTAAATAGCAAGTACAAGACATTTACCATGTGCTAAAGTCAATCTGGCCTGATAAATCTAGCTCTCAGTGCACCTTAATTTGCAGAGACGTGCCAGCGAAACACATGTGCGCTCCAGGAGCCTCTGCGAACTGTTTCTCAAAGCCTGTCGTGCTGTTGTTTTTAGTTTGACGCAGACTGGAGAGGAGAAGCTCCAGAGCCTGCAGTGAAAACCATCAACTACTCGCTCTTACTGGAGGACGTCTTTGGCAGCGCCACAAACATTAATGACAGCTAAGAACGGCCTGATGGGATCCTCAAAAGCATGAGAGAGGAAGTCAAGAAGTCTGCAGCACTTTGTGCACCGCATTGATTAAACTCACATTGTCGTTTCTGTTGTGTTGCGTGAATGTCATAATGCAGTTTATGTGTATTTTGTCTTGTGTTATTTATTCGACTTAAAATCAAAAACATGCTGGAATGAGAGAGCCGTTTGGGACCATGTGGAGCAGTTAAAAATATGAGCCGCTAAATCAAACCATACTTCATATCCAGGCAGACAGACATGCACATTTGCTGTTATTATGTGGATAAAGCTGTCAATATAATACGACAACATGCCTTTGGCTATATGAGAGAATTTAACTGGCCCGCTATATAGTCATAATCCCCAAATGTCTTTTTATGATTGGCTTGAAGGAAAGCCAGTGTTTTTCCCATGCTAAAAAGGAAATCGTCTTTATTTTATAACCCGCAATGGCTGTTCGCACTTATGTATTGGCACATTATGCAATTGATAAATGCTGATGCTGTATATAAAAAGACAGGTCGAGCGTGTCTGTAATCAGAGCTTTTGTGATCAAGGCCTCCGTTCCCGGCCAAGACAGAAAGAAGTGCATTACATCACAGCAGGCATTATCAAGTCTTCATTCCTAGCCTTCACACTTACTAAAATATTAGCCTCATGAGTTAGCAGGCTTCTGTCCGAAACACAAAGGCTGACGTTTGGAGGACATTTTTAGCCTGGCTCCAGTGAATGGGGAATAAGGCTACACTTTGATATCCCAGACTGTAACAATGACCCCCGGTTACATCTGGTATTAACATCCATTTCTGTGGTCAGCATTTAATACCGATGAAAAGAAAAAGGTCCAAATTGGGATCTGGTCGGACAAACCACATTCTGAAGTCGTTAAAAATCATGTGACAACATTGTAGTGAAAATGATAGTGTTTCACTGGCAATAACGAGAAACTGATCTGCAAAACCAAATCTACTAAATAAATGTACATGATCTTTAGTTTTAAAAACTATATAATGTAAATGATGCTCCGTTTCTTGCAGTAATTATTTCGCTTTTTAAGGGGCTGTTCACATATTGTGTCTAAAACCGTGTGGTAAAAATGATGTGCATCATTTCCTTCACCAATTTCAACGTGTTTTTTAGCTTGTGCTAAGCAACCATCAGCCATGCTCTCCGAGGAATCACCACTGACAAACCTTTTCTGTGGCTCTGATACATTATGTGTGCATGTAAAAAGTGAGCGCACTGCACCAAGTCAAAGACTACAGAATACACAAGACGTGTCACTCGTATAGTTTTGAATGCGGAAAAGTGTAGAAATCAATATGGCAAATGAAGCCTCGCCACCTACAGGAGCCAAATCATCGATTACTATAGACTAACTTATCTCCGTGGAAGGAGTTAAGACCATATGAAGCTCAGACCAGATGAATCTCAACGATTACTTGCTTCACAGACATATATACACATTACACATAAAGCTTGAAATCTGTAATTTTAAATGAACCCACTACACTCAAAAACAAAAGTTTTCAAAAGAACAAAAGATTTAGTCTGTCCTGTTAAACGCACATTATATGACAGCAACTACTCAAATGCAACAAACTTGTAAACAAAGAGTCACTGTTATTTCTGGAGGAGACTCGACATCAAGACCGAGTTGTGAATTACTTCAGAAGACCAGCGTGATCAGATGATCATTATTCAGTGGTTGATAATGCGTAGAACAAACAGAAATAAGGTTAATCACATTCTTTTCAAAAGCGTGTGCGCATTAACTCGGGCAAAATAATGCTGATTTATTTGATTCAAACGTTTAGAAACTAAACTTAATTAAGAGACAGCTGTTGTTCAGTTTTGTTGGTGGTTCCAAATATGTAGTGTATTCATAAGTTGGCAAACAGTTTTGGATAATTTGATGTTTCCCTATTCAGACAGAATGCCCGAGAAGAGTTTCAAAGATGACCACTGAGTGAAATGATCCTATTTACGTGTGCACATTATGTGTCTAGATTTGAAATAATGAACTCGAGCGCACAAAAAACGCAATATTTGAATGGACCCTAAGACTTCAGTGCATCATCAGGAGCCACAAGTATTAATTTAGGTGTGTCTTTTTATGGTTTCTCTAACGGCAACTGTTTACTTGCGTTACGTAAACCAGAGATCCCGTTTCAAAATTTATTAATTTATTCACTTTCCTTCAGCTTAGTCCTTTTATTCATCTGAGGTTGCCACAGCAGAATGAACTGCCAACTTATCCAGCATATGTTTTGCAAAGCGGATGCCCTTCCAGCTGTAACTCAGTACTGGGAAACATCCATACACACTCATTCAAACACATACACTACAGACAACTGGAGGAAAACTGGAATAAACCCACACAAACACGAGAGAACATGCAAACTCCACACAGAAATGCCAAATGACCCAGCCTGGCCTCGAACCAGCGACCTTCTTTCTGTGAGGCAACAGTGCTAAACACTGAGCCACCATGTGTCGCCTCCAAATCTGAATTACTAAAAGTAAAAAAAAAAAAAATTTCTTAAACGGCCTTTAACTAAATTAGCAAATTTAATTTCTTGGATGAACAATGCTTTATAAACTATTACCCTAACATTACCATCACAGTTGTTTTCACGTCTGTCTGAAGCATCACTCAGAAACAATGAAATCCTAAAATAAATCTTAATTTTGTTATTAACAACAATAATATTAAACAATTTTTTGTTAACTTTGCTAAAATGTAGCAATGTATGAAGAAGCACTAACATGCAGAAGAAAAATGTATATGGTAGCATTTATTTATTTTCTTCCTACAACTTACTAATATGTCAGCATGTTTTATTAAATAAATAATTTGCTTTATTGAATTGTTTAAAATAGTATGAATTACTTAAACATGGCTACTATCATTTAAAACAAATTAATTAATTAAATCAAGATAACAAATTCTATACTTGTAATTTTGAAATTAATAGTATTAGCATTTGTTTTCAAACTGTGGCTTTTGGTTTTTAATTGTGGCTATAATGTAATGTATTTTTTCTGCTTGTACAATGGGCACTTGTGCAGGCCTCCATACTGCTCAACTCAAACAGAAATCACTTTCAAATCAACTGGCAAGGCGCATTCGCTTGGCAAACCCTAACATGAGCAAAATCTGTGTGTGGAATGTTTTCGCTCAGAGTGCTTGGATTCCTATCCTATCCAATTATATCCAGTGACCAAATTTCAACCACAAAATTTCAGGTGATGTGACCACGTAATGTTTGTGGCAAAAAGTCTTGAGAGTCTAATTTGAAGGGTCAAATCCACCTAAAGCAAGCTGAGGTAAGTATGTTGCATACATTTGTAAAAACCCACGGACACCAATTAAAATGTTTAAAGATGCTTTTCAGAACTTTAACCAATGGTGTGTTCATCGTTTTAATATATCCTGCCTCTCGTTTAACTGATGTTTATTTAGTCTCTCGTTGAGTCTCCTTAAGGTTCTGCACAGGAAAATGTAATAAAAGTCTCTAGTGCAAAAGATCTCCAATGAATTTTTAAATGGTCCATTGGTGGTTGCTGAACATTCTAATTATAGTATTAAAGTCTATTGGTCTAGTTATTAATTCTTTAGCAAATAATTTCTAAGCCAAAGGGGCTTACTACTACAGACACAGATCCGAGGTCTTGAGTGTGAAAAAAAATATTTAACCACTAAACAGCTACCAAGCTGTGGTGGATAGATCAGCACAAAGACCAAATAATTAAAAAAGAACGATCTGTTCTCCTAAAGCTGAAAGGTGTATGCTTTTCCTCCCCAATTGCTAAAACAGCCATTTACAAGAATAAATAGAGAACTTCGTTCACCATTTGGAGGTTGATTTTCCCAAAATGTGTCTAAACAAAGTTGTGTTTTCTCCTGATAATAATATATTGCTGTTTATTTAGGCAGCCAGACACAGCAATGTTTCAGCCAATGACATGTCTTTGGGGCGTAGCTACCCTTTTAACTGACCAATGGCAGACAGGTGGAGTGTTCACTGTTTAAAAACAGTCATGCATTTGGCGTGTGTTACTAGAGATCAACACATACTATTGTTGTTGCGGTCTTACTTTACCAGAATTGCCATTTATTTATTGATATGACATTGTTGATTTAGAAATTAGAGGGTTAGTTCACACCAACAAGTATGAAAACATACTCCGTTTTCTCATCCTTAAGTGGTTCCAAACCTTTATAAGATCTTTATAGGGCTGATATGCTTGCAAGGTCAAAAAAAAATATCCCAACGACTCCCATATGATTTTTTCAGCGATTCATTTGTTCCCAAACCCCTCTGCGTGAGGCTAATCTGCACTGATTGGTTCAATCACTCAGTTTGTTGTGAATGGTCAACTGTGTTCAGCACGAGATGGAGAGAGACGCCCAGCACAGATAGAGCACAGAGTATATATGTGCAAGATCAATGCATGAATGCATTAAAGCAATGCAGTTAAACACCAGCATATACTCTTTTCTTAACCACAACCCAAAGTAATGCCAATGACACACAATCAGTATTAATTCACACAGTGGCAAAAGTTGAACTATTTTAAAATTTGACAGCACCACTTAAACCCTTTGATCACCACAGCCGTATCTCTATGTGTCAGTGATCACCATTTTCACGTCATGATCAATTCCATGATCTCTCGTACTCTTCAAGTGTCTGAAGGGAAAGGCGTGTTCACGTTTTACCGGACACAGCAGTTCATATTTGGCATTGTTTTGTGCTGACATTAATACCAAAAAGCAAAAGATCAGGACGAACGCAAAATCCATATTTTTAAACAAGGTGCCCTTTCAGATTTAACCCTCAGCTGGATGTTTTCATTCACTTAGTGCTTTGTTACACACTGCATGGAAGGTCATTTTCAAAAACCCATAATAGGGTCTCTTTAATGCCGGACAACAGTTAACAACATTTGTCAGAGTATCTTCTTTTATGTACAACAGAAAAAAGAAACAGGTTTGTTACAAGTGAATCATGAGTAAATGATGACAGAATGTTCTGTCTTGGGTGAATTATCCCTTTAAATCATCTTCAAGAGGCCTTTTTGGGATGACAGTGAACAAGAGAACCTCATAAAATGGCAATTATATTTTCATAATAGTTTATGTGCTTACATGACAATGATTTACTAAATACAGCATGTTTTTTCCATTACACATGACATTTTAAAAATGTTCTCCATTTACACGTATCCTTGAAAAATGGTTCAAAATGCTGTATTATGCATCCCAGGCCAGTAGTTGGAAATGTCAGAAACAGTACACAAGTACAGTACCGTAGTCCACAACTAGTGTTTCAACACTATATGGAATTAAACAAACATCACAAAACATATCCAGACTGTGAATCTAAAATGAAGTGATATCAACCAATGGGCAAAACTACTTTTTTAATAGCATCTGATACGTAGTTTATTTTAATTTATTTAATACAACACAGCACTTCCAGCAATTGCTTAAGAAACATAATTAAACAAAAGACTGCTCTAATTTTTAAAATGGGTTTTCATTTAGCTGGAGGAACATAGTGGACAGTCATTTTGCTTGTCCTTTTTCCAGCTAGAGAATTAAGAGTGCCTACAGGAATTGGCACGGCGATAGTAAACAGGCAAAATTAAGTCTTTTTGGGAGGCCAGTCGCAGCCCCAGGTACACATGGGGAAACAGTTACATTCTCCTCTGTTTTGCCTTTAGATGGCCTTCTTTTCTCTTGCACTGACTCCTGAGCGCTTGAATTTTATCTGTATTTCTACCTGTTATTTCCTTGCAAAGTACTTATTTTAGTATGTATGTGTTTTTTGTCTGCGAGACCTGGTGCAGTGATCAATGTTAGGTTGTCTTTGGCAAGTATTGTTTTAAATAGCTAGAGGAAATAACGTTGTTGTTTTTTTCCAACACTGGCTGTAAATTAAGACTATGGACTATTTTCATCCAGGTCAGTGTTCCCAGAGGAGCTCGTTTCTGGAAGACAGTGCTACAGCGTGCATTGTTTTACTATAAATCACCCAAAATTATGAGACCCTTTAGTCATGTAGTTTAAAATGAGACTTCATGATCAAATCCTTGTAAACTTTGGCTCGTTCTTCTGCTTTGTAACCCTCAATCTGACTGTTGTGGGTAAAAATAAAAGCCAATTGACATGGAGACAGATATGAATCAGTGGATGAAATACAAGGATAAATTGTCATGCAAGAAGACATCAAAGCAAACACAATGTATGTTGTCAATGCTCACCCCATTTGTCCTTCTAGAAACTTTCAGTTAGAAAAGCTTTGCAAATGAAAGACTATGAAATGGACATAACTGAGAAGACAAATGCAGACTGTAAATCACTTACTTGTGCCACATCAAATTGCAAAACGGAAGTTGAAAGAATAGCTGAGTGTTGAAAGACTGCAGATGCTCCTGGATACAATAAAAACATGATGGATAGGCATGAGAGGGGCTCATTTCCAGGATGGGAAGCTTTTGGAGGAAATCTCTGCTAAGGCTATTTTGCTCGTGCTGACATACCAGGTCAGCGGCAGTCTTCATTTGTCTCGCAGTCAGAGAAAGGATTCACAGAAATGATTTATTTTTACTCTGTGCATGCCTATATGTGTATGCTTCGCTAAAATACCCAGCTATTGGCAGTGTAACCCAACACTGTTGTCACGATCGGCCCTATTTGAATTAGCATTGCGTTAATCTACTTCAATTCAGATTTGCAGTGTGTGAACAGGAGTTGCTGGTTGTTAATTATGGTGCTGTCAAGGGGTCGAGAGATAGAAGGTGAGAACATTTGTGGGGTTGCACCAAGTCTTGCAGCTAATTTACTGTATGTTGAGTAAACCTTGGCCTGGCTGAACTTTTAACACAGGATTTGTTTTCTTAGAGATTTCCAGCTTACTATGATGGTTTGTGTGTGCGGTCTGATCATGTTTGGTGCTGCACTTCATTTGTAAAAATGCACACTTGAATATATATATATGTATATACACCGGCCAATTTATTAGGTACACCTTACTAGTACCGGGTTGGACCCCCTTTTCCCTTCAGAAAAGCCTTAATCCTTCATGGCATAGTTTCAACAAGGTACTGGAAGTATTCCTCAGATTTTGGTCTATATTGATATGATAGCATCATGCAGTTGCTGCAGATTTGTCGGCTGCACATCCATGATACAAATCTTCTGTTCCATCACATCCCAAAGGTGCTCTATTGGACTCATATCTGGTGACTGTGGAGGCCATTTGAGTACAGAGAACTCATTGTCATGTTCTAGAAACCAGCCTAAGATTTGTGCTTTATGACATATATCCTGCTGCAAGTAACCATTAGAAGGTTGGTGTTGTGCATTCAGAGATGCTCTTCTGCATAGCTCGGTTGTAACAAATGGTTATTTAAGTTACTGTCGCCTCTTTATCAGCTTGAACTAGTCTAGCCATTCTCCTCTGACCTCAGGCACCAACAAGGCATTTGCGCCCACATAACTGTCGCTCACTGGATATTTTCTCTTTTTTCGGATCATGCCCTGTAAACCCTAGAGATGGTTGTGCATGACAATCCCAGTAGATCAGCAGTTTCTGAAATACTCAGACCAGCCCATCTGGCACCAAAAACCATGCTGCAATCAAAGTAACTTAAATCACCATTTTTTTCCATTTGGATGCTTGGTTTAAACTGCCGCAGATCGACTTGAGCATGTCTACATGCCTAAATCTATTGAGTTGCTGCCACGTAATTGGCTAATTAGAAATCTTTGTTAATGAGCAGTTGGACAGGTGTACCCAATAAACTGGCCAGCGAGTAAATGAGTGTATAATATATATAAAAATCAAACTTGTGTCATTAATAACTCACCCTCATGTTGTTCCAATCTCTTAACACTTTGGATCATCTTTGGAACACAAGTTAATATATTTTAGATTAAAAACGATAGCTCCCTCATCCTCTATAGACAGCAAAGGTGCTGATTGCTGAAATGGTCAAAGTCCAGAAAAGGAACCAAGAACATTGTCTAAGAATTCCAATTTTGGTGCCTTTTCTGGAACTGTCACTGTCTATAGAGGATGAGGGACCCTTTAGAGTTCATCTTAATTTGTGTTTGGAAAATGAACAAAGGTCTCAGGGGATTGGTACAACACAAGGTTGTATAATTAATAACAGAATCTTCATTTTTGGGTGAACAACCCCTTTAAAGGCACTTAATTGAACAACTGATGCCAATAAAACTTGTATGTTAGTCATTATTTGCTGTTGTTTATTGAATATTCTGCATTTATTTCATGTGTTCATGAAAAGTATTTTTTTAATCAAAGTTCTCAGTATTATGGAAACAGCTGGATAAAAATCTGACAATGGGATATTTTAAAGGCACAAACCCTTAATTCGCTTTCGGATAAAGTCCATATCTTGAATTTTTTCCCCTTCTAGTGCCAATAGTTGCAGTAATTTAATTTCAACTGCCTTCTCAACGGTGATGTTTAAAGGACATTTTCTGGCCACAGAAGGACAAACTTTGGGAAAAACATTGGATTCTCTCCATCTCAGAGATGTGAAATAGTAATTATGCGCTCATTGGGAACTCATAATTGCACATCTGTTTTTTATTTTATATCCCAAGAATGCAGTTATGTGCTTTGCATTTGACTGGAATTTCTTCATATTTAACAATTTCAAAACCTGTGCTAAAGTATAAAGACGTGATTTAAAGACAGCTATCAAAGTGTCCCCCTTTGTAGTCGTTCTTATGCTACAGAAAATCATTTTCCCCGTTTTCTTCCAACATATAACTACATACTTCCAAATAGCTTCCAGCTGAATTGAGTTACACCTCCCAAGCCTCGCAGAAGACAGCAGAGAAACCCAGCAGACCAATTGTTTTTAAGTAAACTAACTCCGCTAACAGTTTTATAACCTGGACCTCGTAAAAGAGGGCCATACTTTTGGTCAGTCCTCTGATTTTGCTGGAATCCCCATTTGCTTGCTGGTGTGGCAGCTGGGGGCGAGTGTGTGTGTGTCCCTAAGGTGATATACGACTGCTGTGTCACGTTCCACATCTGACAACCATCCCAAGATGTACATCATCTATCCTTTTCCCTTTTCCATGTGATTCCTCAATAAAACAGGGGGTGTGAATGTCGAAGCGAAGGGGAGGGGAGATGAGAGGGAGGGGAAGAGTCAGAGCTCACACACAATCGGCATGCGGGAGAGAGAGAGTAAAAGGGAAACAGAGAAGAGAGCAAGTGGATGGGGGAGAGATCTAAAGGCAATTGTTGCTTAAGAAATTTCATTTCTGTCCTAGAGGAGCCAGCTGGGATTGGATATTGCAGGTTAAACGGAACCAGGCTGAAGGTAAGACCACCAGCGTTATAAAGGTGACCGGGCCATCAAAGTAACTTTTTACTGGCTGCAAGGTTATCACTATACATTTGCATTGTACTGTTTGTGTTATTTCAGCAGCACATTGATATACTAAATATGAAAACTCAATAATATGCATGTAGACAGCAGGAAATTCCTTCATCCTACTAAGACTTCTTTAAAAATCTCAAATCTTTTTTTGCTAGAATTGGCGATGAAATTCGGCTCATCCATCTACCTCACAATGCATGAGTCCAGTTTTACCTGATGCTTTTTTTTAATATGAACAACACATACATAGGGATTTTGCTCCAAGTGACTCATAGCCGAGGTAAAATTATATATGAGGAGGCTGTGGGAGGTCGGTTGCTAAGGTAAGCCTTCAGCTGCTTGTCTTGCACAGGCAGGGACTGAATACTCAATTTATTGCTATGCCAGAGGTCGTTAGCTGAGCTCCTCGGATGAGAAATCATAGATAATATGAGGACGAGGTGAGCAAGAACATACTGCTCCCCAGATGTTATGGCAATGTCAAGCAGCGCTGTGTATCAATTATTACTCACTCATAATTGATACTACGTAATAGTCCTTTGACGACTCTGCATGCTCCTTACAAAGAAATCAAGCATTAAAGCCTGAGGTATTTTCAGAAGATGACGACAGCCGTCAATTTGCACATCACATTCAAGCAGGAAGGTTAACAGGACAACATAACAGGGTCTCTAATTAATTTAACTGGAAACCCCGCCACGGCTTTACTGTGTGCAGACCCTTTCATCCTGTAGCATTCCAACCAGACCGACGCTTTTCTGAGAAGCTAAATGTAAAGCTAACATTAGTTTAGCATTGGCTCACATGGTGCCCCGGCTATTGGCAACAAGCTCCGTTCAAATCCGCTGTGTTTGTCTTATCTTTATCACTGGGGATATATTTAGTGTAGGGTTTAGCTGTGGAGACGCGGGTTACTGGCGTCGGCGTGTGGTGGCAGTGCCCCTGGCATGCTGCTTGGGTTGCAGATGGGCATGGGAGGAGGGTGCAGGGTGATCCCTGCAGGAATCTGCCCTTTGGTTTATTAAAAGCTGGTCAAACAATAGGGTGCTAAACAAGCAGAAAACAGTGACGTAACCCCATCACCGGAGGATGGGGTTTGGGCATGTCAATGTGACTGAGAAGACAATTCTGCTTATTGGCAAATACTAGGTGACCACACGCCTCACTCAACAACTGTAGACTCAGCTGCTGTCAGACACTTCTGATATCCTTATTAAAGTACTCCAGCAATCAAGGGACATTTGAGTGATTCAAATGTAACTCACCTCACCTTTTCTCTGTAACGAACTACGTTTACATGGACATCAGTAATCGAATAATTTGCCTTAATCTGAAAAAGACAATAATATGATTAAGGTGTTTACATGAGTTGATTTTTAAATGTTCCTTAATGATCCTATTTTATAACCCATGTTATATAGTACATAATTTGATTAAAGTCATTGTGTCACCACGCTCTCCACGTTTCCTCCGGAACTTCATGTAATTTCGAGTGTTTTAATTTCATTTCTTGACTTGAACTGCAGGTACTCACTTTCACATTCATTCAGGAACATTTCATTCATGCCCCCATGACAAACGAGATATAGGATGTGAGTATGACCTGATGGAAGACCATTGCTTTACTGGAATTTGATACCGCTCGCCGTATGGGGAAAAAAAGACTCAGCATTTCGTGATGCAGGTGCCTGTGATCATTCACCGACTCGGTAGGTGCAGAGAATAGTGTGAAACAGCCGTGCATGTATAGATTATCCAGTCACAAAAGGTGGCGAAAATTCTATATGACCATAATAGTTTGATTAGGGTGTTTACATGTCTGTATTGCACTTCAATGATGCGACTTCTGGTTATAGTTAGACTATAAGTTTAGTCAGATTAAGGTCATAAAAAATCGCTGTTTACAGGGTACACTCTTAATCAGACTATTGTCTTAATCACATTAAATGGATTAAATTGAATTATTGTTGTCCATGTAAACGTATTCACAGGCAATTCAGTTTTTTAATATACTGTTTTTAAAAAAACTAATTGAGTTTTAATTTTTCCTGTGGCATTTCTTGTTAAATTTTGTCAAAATTACTATCAATTTCTGATTTTTTTTTTTTTTTGGTTGGGGGGAGGGTAATTGACTGTTTCAGCTAATTACATTGCTAGACTAGTTGGTGGCGACCTTTTAGTGAGTCCCTGAGTCATTTACACAACCAATTTGTTTAAAAGCTGAATAAATAACAAATCTGCCATATATCACTTCCCTACTGTACGAGCCATGATTTAAACAACTTAAATGTATCCACAGAGTGCACCAATACATAAACAAAATGCAGATGTTAATGTTTAGTTAACATGTAAATTTAATAATCCTTCCCCATTTTTTGTTATGGTTTAGTCTGCTAATCACTGGACTAGTTTAAGTTATTGTTAATGAGGTCCCTTTGGAGAGAATTAAATGTGAAAGTAAGAAGGACAAAGTAACAGAGTTTATTGACTGGAGCCCAATTGAGCACAAACCTTAATCAATTATTTGTATGACTGATTCTAAAGATTACTGATAAAACACCTACTATATATAGTATTTAGAATGTGAAATAAGCATTGTTCGAACTCATAGCAGTAAAATGGTGGGCAATAGGTATTTTGATGGCCTACCACTAAATATCCAAAAAGTGAGGAGTTATATGTGAAAACTAGAGGTCTACTTATGTATTGGTCAATAATTTGTTTTAGCAGATCAATTAATTTTTCCAAACTAACAGCCACTGGCTAATTGTTGAAAAATAGCCAGTGATCAGGGCGATTATATTCTGTCAATCAAACGAGGGCGGGAAAACACACTGAACTTGTTCTCTGTAGAAAAAATATATATTTTTCGGAATTAAATTTAAATTGGGTGACAATAACTGAAAACTTACAGTTTGTAACCTCTGCATAGATAATATTTTAATACAGCTAACATGATTATGCAAAAGTGACAGGGCAAGGAATATGATGAGTGTCAAAGCATAAGTGGAATTCAGTCAATGTTAACATAATTTAATAACATTTAAAAGGTAAGACATCCTAATGTAATCTTTATATGTTCATTTGACCAATGGGTTTTAATTTAATGATAATCGTGCAACACAGATTAGAAAGGTAAGAAAGGTAAATAGAAAGGTAAAAGGTAAAAAAATGCTCAATTTGCACACACAAAAAAACTAAGTCTCAAAAATGCTTGTTTGCAACCTAATTTGTGTTGGTTAATGTGCTGTGCCTATGTTTTTAATTTGCATACTTTGTTCATCACTCACAAACTTTTACACTCCCATCGACATGTTTTGCTCTACTAGGTCTAAAATGTATTTGCTCAATAAGTACATCTTGTTTAGTGAACTCCTGTTTTAAAGGCAATATCACTGTTGCACAATATTATTACTTAATCACTATGATCTACTATGAATGTTCTTCTTGTACGATTAGTTTCTCATCATAGTTGTTGTTTCAAGGCAAGGCAAGGATTATCTAAAAAAAACTGAGCTCTAGCTTCCAATACGGCATTTCTAAACAGCAATGCTGAGGAAACTGTAACTAATAATGTGGAGTCAATTGTCTCAATCCACATAATCCAAGCCCTTAGGTGGTTTTGAGTGGAAAATCCTCCTTAAAATGACAGTCTGTGTTTTATCTTAACCAGAAAGAGCAGTAAGGGTTAGAAAATGAGACAGTCTGAGATAACAAGAGCCTACCCGTGATCCCCTGAGATCATTCACTGTCTGCAAAAAAAAAAAAAAAAAAAAAACTAAATGGTGTTCCCTATCTAAATCAAATAGTCTACAGTTTTGAACTGTATCTTAGCACAGAGGCCTTGGTGAGGTGAGAAGCAACACTGAATAGTGTACAACAACTCCTGCCATACAGCCCCCTAACCTGTGGCTGCTTTTGAATGTCAGGAATTTCACAGTCCTAATGCTGCAGACGACGAGGCCCCTCTGCAGCCTTGCCGCGGCCTGAGAGGATCAGCCATGATCAAAAGATCCATACTCTATTTCCACAACCACCAGGGCCGCGCCTAGGGACAGTTCATTCCAGGGGTCCGATCCCTAAGTGGCATTATAGCTGCTGACGGGACACCCGTTTAAGACAGAGTCCCTAGGCGAGCATTCTGTGCCTGGAAGTTCAGCAAAACTGGGGTCTGGCATGTCTCACCCAGTCTTGGCTCATGCCTTCCTCTTAATTTTGTTTATTGTTTTTTTTTCCTCCCTGTGGGATAAAATCTGGCAGTTGCTGAATATGAAAAAATGACCTGTTTTGCATCTTGCAACTTGGATAGTCCACCCAAAAATATTTGCACACCATCATGTCATTCAAATGCCTTTTTTCTTATGTGGAACACAACAGAGAATGTTTTGAAAAACATTTCAATGGTCTACATTCAAACCTCAGCGACTTTTTTCCCAATTTTTCATCCCACAGAATTAAGCAAATCCTTTACTGTATAGATTTAAATGAATACTAGTGTAAGCAAAGGATTTTTCTTTGCAAAGACAATTCACTTGTGGAAATGTTGGGGTTTATCCAATGCTTCCAAGTCGTTTCTTCCAAGTCACACACAGATAATTAAAAAAGCCAGTCCTCTGCTGTATATTCATTGCATCAATGCAGCTGCCATTAAATGCTCTAGTTCCCATAGAGCTGACAGTCAAACGGGGAAAGTCTGTTATAGAGTTTTCTTAAGGGATTTGAGCATCACATAATGATATGATATTGAAGCTGATTTGAAATAGAGCTTATTAAGAGATCACTTTAAATGTTTTATCCATTCTCTGATTTGCCATTAATATATTTTCAATAAAATGTTAATTTATGTTGTCATTTAAAAACTACTGATCAGGCATCTTTAAAATTTCCAATAAAATAATGCTGTTTAGAACATTTACTTGCAGAAAATGACAACAGGACAATATAAAATAAAGTTTTCCATCTTTTTACGATTTAAATGTCCAATTAGTGTCAATATATGTAAAATAAGCATTTCCAATATTTAAATGTAGGCAACATGTTAATACTTAAAATATGCAAATAATCTTTTATATTATGCAAATAATGCCATCTTATTGGCTTCTAGCACTGTATGCTAGTAAAATATTTAATGAGTTTTTGAGATTTCTGTATTTTCCTTTCAGCTAAATATGAGTTGATCGTTATAATGCACTTTCAAACAAAAAAGTTGTCCAAGTTCTGACAATAAAGACTAAAGTGTAGCACATACTTTAAAATACAAATAAATAAGCATAAAATGTCAAAATCTCACGCTGTGCTAAAAGCCGAATTGAACAAGTGGATTTTAAAAAGAGATTTAAAAACAGTAATGGAAGAGACTTGTTTAATATACTAAGGGAACCAACAGCACAATTTAGGTGGGGCCACGGGAAAAGCCTGATCCCCTCTGAGCTTTCAACTGGTCCTGGGTACACCCAGGAGGAGCTGGTCGACTGACCTGAGCGAACGAGAAGGTGTGTAGGGACCAAAAAGCTCAGAGAGGTAAAGAGTGCAGCACCATTCAGACACTTAAAAAAAATTTAAGTAAATTAAAATGGATCCTGAAATGCAAAGGCAGCTAGTGAAGAGAAGATAAAACCGGGGTGATGTGCTTGAATCTGCATGTGCCAGTTAAAAGAAGCGCAGAGTTCAGTTGAGAAATAGAGGACGAACTTACCCCAAAATAAAGTGCATTACAGTAGTCCGGGCCGTTGGTTACAAAGGCATGGATAACCGTTTCAAAGTGCTTGTGTGATAACCACCTTAGGTGGCCTTAAGTGAAAAAAGCTGGAGCTGGATCTACTAAAAAACAATGCAAATACATCATAGAGTTGACTGTCTTTGGTCAATTATGACAGAATTTACATTTTTAGATTTGTTGAATGAATTATACTGCCAAGGCAAAATATCTGGGACAAACGCTTTAGCTCTGACACCTACAAAAAATGTCCACGCAGAGAAAAACAAGCTCGCGTCTCTGTCTCCAATTGTACTGTGAAAACTAATTAAAGGAAACATTCGAGTACAGCTTGCATCAGATAGTCGTTCAGGTCAGATTCCAGCATGTCAAAGCTAATTTTCCAAGTCTATAAACTCGAAAATGTTGGTTTATAAAGTGAAAAAGGATATATGAAGCCGGAGAGAGAAACAATTTGTCTGGTCAGAGGTGGACAGATGTGGTGGACGCCATCTCTGATGGAGGGGATTGTAAGTCCTTCTGCTGTTTGTAGACACAGTGGGCTTTATAAATCTACAGCAGAAGCAGGTGTGGTGGTCGACATTACCTTACATTGAATTCTTTGGAGAAATACACCCACTACTGTCCTTACAGCACTTAAATGATGAAGCTGCCATGAATGCTTTCGCCATGAGATCACAGTCTCATTGTTTATGAACCAAATTGGATCTGTAGTTATCTTTTGAGCTGGGGTGTCCACACTGCATTGTTCAGGTCCATTACAGATCAGTGCGGCAGACGCTTTCAACCAGGTTTGAATGTCAACAGTCATGTCTGGGCATGATAATGATGATAAAGATGGCGGCTGGAATGCCCGATATTAAATAAATGATGAAGAGAGCACGTCCTGTGTCCGAAGCATCGGAGTTAAGAACAGACTGTGATGTGTGCTTGTGTAAACCCAGCAACACATGCGCTCCGCCGCAGTTAAACATTTCAGGGAGTATTTATTTAAACAGGCAAATTGATACCTAAAATCCTTACACAAGGAATGCTAAAGTTAAATGAGTCGCTCTGGTAAGAAAAACACAAGGAGAGAGTTTTAAATTAGCCTGATGTGTTTGCGATTTCAGAGCAATTGCGGTTTCGAAATTTACAAAGAATGAAAAAAGATTTATACATAATGCAGCGCATTGTTTTAGTAAATGATAATTTCCTCCCTGTCTGATCCAGGTCTGCGGAGTCGGTTACCTTTAGGGTTCTGCTTCTCTTTCTTTTCCTCATTACACCCAAACCTTTTAGCCGTTGTGGCTCACTGAATTTAACTGCCGCACACGAAACACTGTCATGAGGACTGTAAAGCTCTAAGCTCATGAAAAAATGAGTACATATATAAACATATACCTAAGTTGGCAGTTGCTTCGCTGTCATGAGAAAACTTGAGCGGAGACTTATTTCTCTCTATGAAAAATTCATTTCTGGGGAAATTCACTCCAGGCTGTTTATTAATATATTAGGTTTCTACGCCGTGTAATAAAAACACCATGTTTTTTCAGTGTTGGGATTGTAAGAATAACAGTACAGTGGTCTGCCAGCACTCCTCATACATCACAGCCCACTTATTCCTGGCTGGAGACATGGCAGCAATCACCTTAACCAGCTGGCAGAGGCACAACAGACGTCTGTCTCGGGTCATCTGTCACTGCCGGGTTCTCACGCGGACAAACTCCCACTCTCTCTGCCTTTGCACCTCACCTTACCTGCCCAGTCCCTCCGCTAACAACTTAAACAGCTTCACTAACTGGGCGAAACATTACCTGATACCGCACTCTCAGGTGGGTGTCTTTTCTGCAACTTGCATCCCGCACTAACTGTGCTTCATTTCTTCCCCCACAGACACATCCAGACCACTCAAGGCGATGGCTGAGTTTAACGAGTACGCTCAGATTCAGCTCACATATGTGCCATCGATAACACAGCAAAGAGCTCTTCATTGTCTTCTGTAGGAGACGGTCAAGCTTTCTGTCGTTTTACCTGCAGACACTATGAGGAACTCGGTCGCTCTGAGCCAGCCGGGCATTCTACTTCTTCTGGTCACATGTCCTCTGCTGACTATCCTGCAGGGTGTCACCTGTAAGGCAGAGAGTGGACACTTAGGGGACAATGATCCTGACAGGTGTATGAGACACCACTTTGTTGAGACCATCACACATCCTATCTACAAGTGCAATTCAAAGGTAAGCACACACATTGGAGATTCTTATTGTATTTATGCCTTATAAAGTAATATGTAAGGCTGCACGATGGCTCAGTGGGTAGCACTGCCGCCTCACAGCAATGAGGTCGTTGTTTTGTGTCCCGGCTGGGCCAGTTGTCATTTCTGTTCTCCCCATGTTTGTGTGGGTTTCCACTAGGTGCTACGGTTTCCCCCACAGCCCAATGACATACGCTATAGGTAAATTGGATGAACAAAATTGGCAATAGCATATGAGTGTGTGTGAATGCGAGAGTGTATAGGTGTTTCCCAGTACTGGGTTGCAGTTGGAAGGGCATCCGCTGCGTAAAACATATGCCAGAATAGTTGACGAATCACTCTCCTTACCTTTGATAAATGAGAGACTAAGCTAAAGAAAATTATTGAATAAAAAATAATATGTATGTGTGCACGCATATTTATATATACATCTAAAAACACTATTTTAAAATGAACTATCAGTATCTGTTTTACTAAAACCCCAAAACTACAAATCATAAATGTGTGTTATTGTTAATAGTGCATATGTACACTGTAAAAAAAATGCTGGGATCCACACAATCGATTTTTGTTTTAAGAACAAAAAGGAATTAAGTTAACTTATTAGTTTTACATATTTAAGTGTATGAGACATGGAACAATTAATTTGTCTCCAAACACACTCAAGAACTGTGTTGTTTAATTTTTTTAAGTGCTAATATATCTTCATTTACACTGCCAAAATAACATCCAGCCAGTGAACGCATTGCTGTTACTCTCATGAACATAAATAATACATTGACCTAACAGCTTCCGGTTCCTTTCGGTAGCATTTCTGATAACAGAAACTGAACAATACCTCCAACAATGATGCAGTGTGGGAGTCAAGTAAGTGTGATTCAAGCCGCTAACACACAAGCGAATGTGAAGCTGTAAATTTTTTTGACTGACTCAATAAAAAAGTGTGGCTGACTCGAATCATTGAATTGGAATCATACGACTCATTTGTTCACACAGCTAATGTTGTGATTGTTTTTGTGCATAGATGTGCTCTGGACAGTGAAAACTATTACAAATAATTTTGTAATAGTTTCAACTGAAATCTTATCAATATATATAAAAACTAAAACTTAGAATTGTATATGTAGCACTGGAAACTAAATAAAATTTGTTGTACTGAGTAGTCAAAATCACTTAAACTGAACGGCAAACGTACTAATATATAATAATCTGAATATGAAAATAAAAGCCAATTCAAATCATTTATAAATAGTATATAGATAAACGAAATACCATAGCATAATACCTATTTAAAGTGATTTTTGATGACACCACATATATGGACCACCAATGACCACCTGCCAAAAGTTCTTGTGGCCTTTTTATTATTATTATTTTTAAGTCTTATAACATCCAAGTGAAAGTCACTTAAAAAAATCAAGCTCCCATGTTGCTTATTGAATTACAAAAATGGTCTGGGAGGTCAGATCCTCTTGTAAGACAATACACAATCTACACCCACAGGTTTCCTGCTAACAAGCTGCCTAAAAATGAATCAAGTCTCCTGATGCTTTAAAAGATTTTACATTTAAACACTTACCCAAGGGAGCCGGCTCATAATTAGCACCCAAGGCTAAGAGGAAAGCTTGTTTTCATTTATTGAGTCAGATAGCATGGCTGCCTTGTCTAATGACCTCTACCTTTAGTTTCTTTGACACCTTGGCAAGGAACACTGCAAACGGCCTGCCTGTGCGGCCCAAAGCCTCGCCAGAAATAAGCACTCATGGGGTGCATAAAATGTCTGGAGGTGGCACAGTTCCAGGGCTCCACACAGTGCTGTGCCTGAGTCATTTTGTACTTATCGGAACAATAGAGTGCCTCAGATACAACCTCTCAAAATAAAGCCATCGATAATAAACACTGTGGGATGAGTTCCAGATGCTCTTATTCACCTGTACCCATTAAAAGGACAGCCTCTCATCGTCTGTATATGGCGAATGGAGTTTCTCATGCTCCCTCTCATACAAACCCAGCTGGGCTGTGTCAACAAACATCCGACTTACAATAAACCGAAGATGAGCTAGTCAGCCACCTGTGCCGGAGCTAAAAATCTTCATTCTGCAAGCTTTACACACGCTCTACTTTCTAATTACAAGACAAACATCCCAGTGGAAAATGAAAAATGTGGTCAGTTAACGATTCATTCAGTAACCCAAATAAGGAAGTTGAATCTGTCTGAAGTAATTATGACAGATTATGAGTAGTTGATTGTTACAGTTGCTTCCAACAGGTCATTACATTAAAGGGTTGGGCAAAAGTACTGATTTTACAATTAATTGTAATTTTCATTTGGACAATTATTATACAGATTCTTAAAGTGCCAAGAACCGTTCTTTTTTTTCTGCATTGTTTTCAGTGGCTCACTTCTATGCTTTTATCAGGGAAAAAAATATTATTTCCATCCATGACTCATAAAAAAAATTCTTCATTGACATTTAGTTGGGTTAAGAGCCTTTAGCATCCAAATCCTTTATGGTGGCTTCACTAAAAATGGTTCTTTTATGGTATTGCTTCAAACCCTGGTATGCAACCCTTATTATTTGTGTTTTATTTAATCTGTTCAAAATAAATTGATGATCACCTCACAGCAAAAAGGTTGCTGGTTCAAGATTCAGCTGGGTCAGTTTTTGCATGCTCTCCCCATGTTCGCGTGGGTTTCCTCCAGGTGCTTCGGTTTTCCCACAAGTCCAAAGACATGTGGTACAGGTGATTTGGGTAATCTAAATTGGCCGTAGTGTATGTGTGTGAATAAGTAAATTAATGTGTATGGATGTTTTCCAGTGATGGGTTGCAGCTGGAAGGGCATCTGATGTGTAAAAAACATGCTGGATAAGTTGGTGTTTCATTACACTGTGGTGACCCCAGATTAATAAAGAAACTAAACCGAAAAGAAAATGAATCAACATGAAATTTCCTAAAACACACGTTACCAACATACCTGATTTTGTAATATTATTGTGATGCAGATAAATATATATTATGTAAAAAATAGGTCCTGACTTTTTTTGTCTAAAGCACCATTTATAATTTACAGAAATATCTTGTATTTTCTAAATATGGAAGTAAAAATAGACATATATATGGTCAAATTTATCAGAATTAAATTAAACTGACCCAAAATGAGCTTTTATATTGAAAAATTTAAATCGATACCCAGTCCTGCTTAAATGCAAGTACAATCTTTTATTCACATTTATCGATGGTTCCATGAAGAACCTTATACATTGACGGAACAAGTGGAGGAAAAAAAACACTAAGAAACTTTTCAAAACTATAAAACTCTAGGTTATTAAAGACCACAAATATTCATTTTATGGGATCACTAGAAAATCCCACTTTTGGAGCCTTTATTTTTAGGAGTGCATAAGGCCGGAACAATTTACATCAAACAACTAACCCAATGGTGAAAATATTTTCTGTCCCAAAAACAGATTCTGATTGACAGACCCCAGCATGTACACAAGCCCATTGTCTAAAAGCAGCACAATGGATTAAGCTCAACTCAGTCACCTTTAAAGAAGCTTATTACACATTGCATTAGTTATGAGGATGACTGCTGCTTCCATGCAAATTTCGGCAGTGCTACACAATAGGATCCACCTGCGCAGTCACTCTGAGATAAATATAGAGGGGAAGAAGAGCTTACATCTGCTGCCCAGCTTTTGTCACCTTGCCATGTTTCTTTGGATATCCATCTTCTGTGGACCACACACCTCCACTGCACCTCCCTCTGAAATCCCCATCTATCCTTTGATTGCTTTACGAACATGGCCATACGCCTACAGTTTCAGGTGACATTAAATAATGACATCAGCTAAAAGCAGCAAGCAAATCCCGCTTCATTCATGGATGTCGGACTATGAGTGATGCATATCGGGTGCTTTTTGGCATCAAGCAGGCTAGTGTTCTTTATAATGGGGGTGACACTCCGCTAACACTATGCAGCTGAAAGACAACATGACATAGGAGTCCATTTATGGAGTGTTCAGGAATGTGGCGGCCCGTGGTCTGGCCAGCACCTCATATTCCGAATCAGTAGACCATTGAACTGGGTCACGTTTGTGTCTATCACTGCAGATGAGCATCACTCATTAACCTTTAATTACAAGAGACCTCTTATGTAGGACAGAGCTTCTCAAAGGGGAGTTTTTTTTTTGAAGAGAGAATCTGACTTTATCTACCAGTGAACTCCAGCGTTGTACCCAGGTGGATCACTGACCCCCATAAATCGGTCCCGCAAAGTGCAAAGCCTTTCATCTGTCACACAACAATCCCAACAAAGCAGATGAGGCAAATTTGTGAGATTGAGGTATTTGGGGGAGTCAAGTAGCTTGAACATCCAGGTCTGGGAGAGATCAACCACACTCCCATCACTACGCAGGTGCAAGGTCAAAGTGAGAGAGTACACAAGCTTTCTTTGTTCAACACTCAAACTTTCTCAGGAAGCTTATCTTAGTCATGACATAGGATTCAATTTAGGAATGGCACAGGACTCTTGCTTTACAAAAACTAAACCTGCTTGTGCAGACATGGAAGATGCTCTATACTGGATTCGCAGAGACTAAACTATTCACGAATGGGACACAATTTTTTTTTATGTGATTTTAAAGCCGTGGGAGACCACAGACATAACGAAAGTTTCAAATGCATTTTAACATTATAATCTTTCAAATGTGGGGTAGCACTGTCAACTCAAAGCAAGAAACTCGCTGGTTCGAGCCCCAGCTGGGTCAGTTGATGTTTCTGTATGAGTTTGCATGTACTCCCTGTGTTCGCGTGGGTTTCCTCTGCGTGCTCCAGTTTCCTCTACAGTTCAAAGACATGCTGAATTGGCCATAGTGTATGTATGTGAATATGAGAGTGTATGGGTGTTTTCCAGTAGTGGGTTGCATAAAATATATGCTGGATAAGTTGGCAGCTCATTCCACCATGGCGACCCCTGATAAATAAAGGGACTAAGCCAAAGGAAACTAAATGAATAAATGAATCTTCAAATGTACAGCTTAAAATAGATTATTTGGTCACTCTGCGACCTTCAAGTTGTAACAATTTTATGACAAGTTTCAGCTATAAATGCCTTCTAGACTTTCACAATTATAGTTAACATAGGTAGTTTAAAGCACCTCATTTAGGATTGATATGTTTCATATTTGTTGATTTAAGATTTTTCAAGCCAGCTATGACAAGCCTAAACTAGGGCCATGCAACCCCCCAAAGTCAACCCCCACCCACCTGTCAGAGGGTGCAAATCAGGTCTGAAATCTGGCATAAAATGTGTGGCCGGCCCAAATCAAAATATTATGAATCTCTCACACATTCCAGTCTCTGTTAATGTATTCAAAATAGGTAGTTTGAGAAAAATGAAGACAGAAAGGTGTTACGATCTAATACCAATCTTTTAAATTTCCTTTTTTTCTTACCTTCTAAATAAAAAAATACATACCTGTTAAAACTAAACTGACAGACAATAGAAGTGAAGAGTTTATTTATAAACTAATTTTGAGAGAAATGCTTATGATTGCTTGTGCCTGGTCTTGCATTATTCAATTTATAATCCACCAATCAGACAATTCCTAAACCACTGTAAATACCCTAAATTCTATATAACAGCCATCTTCGTTTTGAAGAATCCCCCTTCCACTTCTACTCCTTCTTTCCTAGATGGGTGGCACGGTGGCCCAGTGGTTAGCACTGTTGCCTCACAGCAAGAACTTCACTGGTTCTAGTCCTTACCAGTCGACGTTTCTGTGCAGAGTTTCACGTTCTCTTCATGATCACGTGGGTTTCCCCAGGGTTCCCCAGTTTCCTACTACGGTCCAAAAACATGCAACTTAAGTTAATTGACTACTCCAAATCTGGACCATAGACATGCTCCAAGTGAGAAGTTATCTCTTAAGAGCAATCACTATCTGTTCATTAGCTACTACAGCAGGGGTGTTTTCGAGATTGACCAGAGCTCAAACTCCCCTCTCGCCTTGCAAACAGGAGGGAGCCCTGGGCTAGAGGATCTTATGAGCTCAGGGCTCTCTACCGGGACAGCATGTCAAACAAGCTTTATAATTAAATCAATCATCAGCTAAGTCTAAACTTTTGAAAGACAATTAAATAGACAGAGAGATGGACAAACTAACATAACATAAAATCTTATACATCATGGCACTAATTCATTTTTTTTCTCCCTCTCTACAGATGGTCCTCCTGGCTCGATGTGAGGGTCACTGTAGCCACACTTCTCGTTCAGACCCACTGATTTCTTTTAGCTCTGTCCTGAAGCAGCCTTTCAAAAATACATGTTTCTGCTGCCGTCCACACACCTCCAAACTGAAGGCAGTACGTCTTCGATGCTCGGGTGGGACACGGATAACCGCTACTTACCGTTACATCCTTGCGTGCAGCTGTGAGGAGTGCAGCTGAATGAATTTGTCATGGAGAAAGACCCTCTGGGCTGAAACACACAAAAAAGTTTGAAGGTACACTTTATTGCTGATGATTCAGAGCAACCATTTTACGATTCATTAGCACTGCCGAAATGTTGCCAACAACCCATCGAGACTTCAAGAAGAATCACATCATGTGTAAAGCGGCGCATGCACTCGGATTTCCAGATGTCGGCCTGCTTGTCACACCAGCGCATGCGCTCAGCCAGTCAATTTACTTTTATTGCATTCCATTGTTTTGATCACTGCGTGTGTAAAATAGCGGATGCTGACAACAACATCGTAAATCTTGAAGGAAATTTGATGAAGCTAAGTGGGAGTCACTTTGGTGGACTACGTTTTACAATATCAGAGAGGCTAAATACAAACCAGGACAGAGAAGCCTCAATGTTTTCATAGACAATGATAGTGGTGAACTATAGTTTGTTTTATGTCTAGGATAGAGTTTCAAATTCTCCCCTCCAGCCCCAATTTTTTATTTATTCTGTTATTATTATTTACTCAAATCTCATGTCATTCAAAACCAGGGGCGTGTTGCTTAAAACCATCAACCAACCAGGTTAGCAAGTTCAGTTTTTACAAACATAACAATTTGGCATTACCAGAATGCATAGTTAACAAGAAAATTCATAAACATCACAACAGGCTTGTGTGGTTATGGCTTCAGCTTTCTTTCTGTGTTTAGAAGCATATCTTCTTAATGTGACATATGAACCCTAAGAAAGCATGCACTTGGTAAATGCGTCATGGAAAATAAGTAATGTAAATTGCAGAACATTTTTCATGCTTTATTCCAAACATAAAACAAGAGTGTGCATGTGCACACTTGCTCCGGTACCAACAACAGAGTAGTTGAAGAACAAATCTTTAGATGCCATGTTTGTAGTTGTTTTTGCAGCAATAATCTAACATTACTGACCTTAAACTGTTTAATTACGAGAGCTTGTCACTCCACCACCTGCGACATCACTAAAGTTATGACTAGCTAGTTAGTTTTTGTCAAGAGAGTTATGTCATCATTCAAGAAATGCACCCTTGTATGACATTTCATCGCTCTTGTTTAATTTAGACAAGTGTATAGAATTCAAAACAACATGTTCCCTTTCAGGATGACACGGTGGCTCAGTGGTAAGCACTGTTACCTCACAGCAAGAAGGTCGCTGGTTCGAATCCTGGCTGGGCTAGTTGGCATTTCTCTGTGGAGTTTGCATGTTCTCCCCGTGCTCGCGTGTGCATCCGCTGTGTAAAACATATGCTGGAATAGTTGGCGGTTCATTCCGCTGTGGTGACCCCTGATAAATAAAGGGAATAAGCTGAAGGAAAATGAATGATTGAATGTCCCCTTTCAAATTGTACAGAAAAAAATATATATTTTTATTTTTGTTCCACAGAAGAAATAAAGTCATACAATTTTTGGGTTACAGGTAGGTAAATAATAATAGAACTCGTTATTGTGTGATCTGTCTCCTTAAAGTCTCTGGAATTGCCCATGTCCCAGCATACATTTTTGCTTCATTATACCTAATAATATAGTAACAAAGAAAAAACTCTTGTATTGCCAATGTCAAACTTTGTAAACCTTGTGTACATGATTTTACTGTGGGGGTTTACAATCTACCATGCCGGACTATATGTGGAAAATGTCAGTTTTAAGTGTTTATTTCATCATCAAAGTATGACAATGGCTCATAACACCTAATAGCAGCAGGTTGTCAAGTTAATCACCTACATCTATGATAACTATGATGTTTGCATTGTGGAAATGTACAGTAAATGACAAGAACCATATATAAATACACAAAAAAAAATGTATTGTTCCTCAAATTTCTCTATGTCTATGGAAATAAATTCAACCTCTACATATTCCTGAAACTGTACTGCTGGGAAATTATAACAATTTGCTTGCTGGACAGGTTTGAGCACCACTAAACCTTGACAGCTTTTTGGGCTCTGCGCATGAATCTAATAAACAGTGCCCTTTTGTTTTTAAAGACTGACTGGCTGCCTTGTGCTAGCTGTCTTGTTACACATACTTTGGCTCCTCAATACAATGTGACTTTCAGTGGGGCTATAATTAACTTAATGGCTAATTTGACAGCATGACAGACAGTCCGCATAATAGCTGTCAGTTGAGTTCTCTGTAATTTTTTATGGCTGCCCTAAGACATCTCCTCACACGATCGAAAAACTGCAGAGCCCAGGCACTAAGCTAAATGTCACATCACATTGTTCTTTGACCTTCTGTTAAATCTAACAGAGCGTTCCAGGTGTTGTACACGTGTGTGTCTTTATCCCCTCTCAAACAAGTGATAATTCAAGCAAAAGCCGACAAGTGATTCAAACAGAATGGGGTTAAATATATCACCTGATTACCATTAATTGAATCCAGTCACAAATTTGGCCGAGGAGTGTGACTTTTCCCTTTTCTGTGTACGTCCACTTGAATGAAGAAGACATTTAACCATCTAAAACATAAAAAGGTAAGGGTTTTTCCTCCCGGAAATGTTATGAAAAAAGTAAGAGATTTCCTGATTACAATACAAACCACAAACACATACAATTGCTTTCCTAAGCTACCAATATGAGGCTAATCAGTATTCAGTCTATTAAAGTAAGAGGAAAGAAGCTAATGTCATCTGCAATTATTTGTGATAGGAATTTAAATGTTTATTAGTTCATATGCAAGTTTTTGTTACTCGCTTCATTTAAACAGTCCACCTTTTCTGGGCTTGCGATAAAATCTGCTGTGAGAAAAACAGACACATGAATATTGCAGCTCAACAAATACATTTGTATGTCAAGCATATGGTTGTAAAATGGTTAGAACTTTGTCTAGCAACAAACAAGATATCGTTGTTTATGTTATTTATATTTAATGTCTTAAGAGTATGCGCTAAAACATGGCTAATTAAATCCATAATTGGTATGACAAGGCGTTGATACTTTATGAGTTGAGATTCTAACGTACCAATTGCGCCCTCTTGTGGCCGACATTATAGCGGGGCCGTTTTACCTCCCACTGACATTTAATTTACACAAATGTTTCAACCAGAATTATTGAGTTTATTTCTTTACATTTTACTCTAACTTTATGTTGTTTTCCTTGATCCAGAAAATGTTTAATTCCAAATATCAGTCATGCAAACAATCTATCACTTCTGTGGGTCAATTTAATGCCCAAACTTTTCCTTATGAAGGGCCAAAAACCAAACTTGATTGAGGCTAGTGGGCCAAAGGTAAATAGAATAGGTAATTTTCTAATTTAGTTAATAATATTTAAAAATGACTAGAAAATAGGGCTGGGTGATTAATCGAAAAGTAATCGAAATCGACATTCAGAACTTATAATCGATCTAAATTTTCCAGGACGATTTTTTCAATGACTTTCCTTACGTATCACGTGACCCCGCTCTGTTAAAGGCTGTGGCTAATTTCTACTACCACAGCCACTTAGCAGCCACATCTGATTTCTGGTCAAGAAGGACGATGGACCCATTCTTGAGTCCATTCACTGAGCTGTGCCAGAGATATCTTGAGATGGCATATTTTCCATTACAATAAAATGGTTATTCACACTAAAATATTTGTTTACAGAAGATGGCAAAAATGCAATGTTTATATTTTTATTTACAGAATATACACAAGTTATTTTATTTAGAAGAGATCCTGCTTATTTTCTACTTTTAATATGAAAATCATTGAAAATAATTTATTTGTTTACAAAAGTGCAAGTTATTCATTTTCACTTTTTTATAAAAAAATAGTAGAAGATAGTAGATGGATAGTGTGTGTTTCCTTCAATCATTTTCAAATCAAGTAATGCACCCTTCATTCAGAAATATCTCACTTGTAATATGTAAACATATTTACTGTACAAAACTTATACATGAAATAAATAAATCAATAACATAATCATCAATCTTTATCTAGTTAAAATGTTCAATCAATCGAGATGTTGATTGTACACCAAATCGCCCAGCCCTAGAAAACATTATATAACTAATTCATTGTTTTTATTTACATTTCATAATAAACTTATTTAAGTAAAAACAAAACAATCAAATTTCTAACAGAACTACACTTGTTTTTGCCTTGATTTGCTCACTGGTGTCTTCTGCACAGTCCATCGAAAGACAGTATTTACATTTTTTTAAAAATCTGAATTATTTACAACATTTAATTGAAACATTTAATTGCAGTTTGCTTTTTGTAGCTCAGCGATTTTAGCGATTTTTTTTTTTTTTTTAAAAAGAAGAAGTTATGTCAAATTAGAAATGATAATATGTGTTAAAGGCATTCGCCCCATCCCTCTCCATTATTCTCAATCTCCACTCATATGGGATGGTGGGCCAAATCAAAGGTTACAAAGGGCCATTTCTGAGGGCCATCTCTGGCTTAAATAGTTATATCTTTTTTGTAGCTACAAAAAACTAACAACAACAAAATAAACGTAGCTTGTTTTTCCTTTTTTCCCCTCTGTTATTTACTGAGGAGCTTCTTACCAAATTACATTACATAAAAGTCCATGCAGGATCAATCTAACCCTTAACCAAACTTAAAAGTGGCTGACATCATCAGACATACTAACTGAAAATGCCAACCACTCGCATCTGGTGCACAACCACTAATAATACAAGTAAATTGGTGCTTTAATTTTACAAAAAAATGTGCCTATAGTAATGAGGGTAACACAATATTTTATTATACTCCAATCAAAAACTGCTCCTCCTAATACTTACAATTCATATAGGAATTCATGACTTGAACATTTTCCTCCTTTTTTTTTTTTTTTTTAAAGCACTAAAATACATTGCCTGTATTCACTGAGAAGTGGATAAAAATATTCATTTTCAAAATGGGGTGTACTCAATAATGCTGAGCACTGTATAATGCCATTATCATAAACATGTTCATCCAGCACCACCAACCATTTATAATGCCTTTCTAACAAACATTTCATTAAAGGTAAATGGATCTGTCAGCAGGGAGGGGATATAGAGCACTAATATCTTTACACCCCACATAGCAAAATTTCTCTGGCCCACACAATCAGGTTTTGCTTGGCCCACATGCCGCAGTGAATTACGGTACATTACTGGACCAAATCTGGCTTCCAGACAAGGGCCAAACACAGACCATATCTGGGCCAAGTCTCAGCCAAGTTAATAACTCATAACTGGGCCTGAACTGGGCCAGATATGTTGGTGTGTCACGATTGCAATGAAATTGATAAACCCATGGAGTGATGCGCTTTAGGCACACTATGGGCACGCTTTTTCTCAAAGTGACCTGATTGGTAGAATTTTTTTTCTTTACTCAAAAATGATTTTAGTGTATTTTAAATGTGGGTCAAGACTGGCCAAACTCACATGGCCCACTTATAAAATTTTTAAATCTGGGCCAAATACTACGTTTCACATCTGGCCCAATTCTTGTGTGCCGCCTTAAAAACGGTGCCACCTCTGCCAAACCCGGGCCATGTTTGGCCCACATGCTGTATGCCAGTGCCGGATGAATGCCTGCTGTGCCAGCTTTTTGCCAAATCTGGGCCAGAATTCTTTGCTACTAGGGACCTTACTAAGTTTATTTCTCTAGTGTACCTCCCAGTCCTTAGGTCTGGGTAACTTGCTTACCCAAATAAGATCCACACACAGTGGATTTTGGATTATCTGCTGTGTGCTCATTATGAATATAATAATGTATGGCCTGACAGCCTCATTCTGAGCTGAGTGTGGTTTAAAGAAGATCAATTCTTAGATGTTTGTCTTATAACCTGAAGCAATGTACCTGTAACTACATCCACTAGATGGCACCAAAACATACCATCTGGTCAGATAGAGAGGGAGCAAAACTTCCCCATCCAATAAATAAGAAACATATTAAAAAGATAGTTTACTCAACCTCAAGTGGTTATACAGCTTTATGAGTTTCATTCTTCTCTTGAACATAAATGATTTTTTGAAGAAAGCAGAAAACATGAAACCATTGACTTTCATTGTAAGAAAAACAAATAATATGGAAAGCAATGTTACCCATTTCTTGTTTTCTTCAACATATCTTCTTTTGTTTTTCAGAAGACAAATAAAGCAAGTCAAATCGATTTGGATCAAGTGAAGCAAGAGTAAATTACAATTTTGATTTTTGGGTGAACTACTACTTTAAGGTACGGAAAAAAAACTAATAAAGCAGAATTGAACACTTTTTACACTCACTAACTGTGGTGTCAAACTTGGGAAATGTGTATACTACACCCGTGGCTACTCTACTAGGACACATTATTCTTTTCTTTTGAAAGACGCCAAATTAGATATGATATTGCTCACAAATTTTAATAAACAGCTGATATTTAATATATTTCTTAAAAAAAGTTTTTTTTAAATCACAGAATTTCTCAGACACAAAGTAAATTTTCTGCACTGAGCAACTTATGGGGTTCCAACACTAGTGGAAGCCCATGTAGAGCCCTTAAAATGCCTAAATGAGTACTCATGTAGGCGTTGTGGTGGTGCTTTGGGTAGCGCTGTCACCTCACAGTAAGAAAGTTGCTATTTCGAGCCTCGGCTGAGTAAGTTGGCATTTCTGTGTGGAGTTTGCATGTTCTCTCCGTGTTCGCGTGGGTTTCCTCCAGGAGCTCCGGTTTCCCCCGCGTATGCTATAGGTGAATTGGGTTAGCTAAATTAGCCGTAGTGTATGTGTGAATGTGAGTGTGTATGAGTGTTTCCAAGTGATGGGTTGCAGCTGGAAGGGTATCCGCTGCGTAAAACATATGCTGAATAAGTTGGCGGTTCATTCCGCTGTGGTGCCCCCTGATTAATAAAAGGACTAAGTCGAAAAGAAAATGAATGAATGAGTACTCATGTGAAGAGTCTCAAAATAGTATAATTCCTTATTTATTTTTGGTATTATGATGAGTTTTCGACAATGCTACTGTAAATACAAGTCAAACATTTTGAGCTTTTCCACTTTTGACATACAGAGATGGTCCAAAACAAATAAGGATGGACTGTTTTAATAGTGCAGATGCTCATGTGGTCAAACATTCTTAAAAAGCCACGAAAGACCTATCTCCCTGCTTACTGCCCTAGTTCTCAAACATTAAGGGGTATGTTGTTGAAGGGTGCTAACCAGACAGGATTTAAACTGTCATCTGAACTGGCTCAAAGTTATCTTACATTAGATTGAACTATCCGAACTGGCCAGGTGTAAACAGGAATGATCCTCTCTCACCTAGATACAGTCAACCAAAATTTAATTGCAAATAGCAGATCTAAATGGGGTCTAAAATATAACCAATAAAGTAACTCATGACACCATGTACTTGTGTTTTAATGATTGATTTTAATGAAAGTTACCTTAGAAGACACAAGCAATTTCACTTTAACCCCTTAAATGTCACCACTTCATTGTAGGACTGGGCAAAAAATGTTTATATTCTCAAAAGCTGATTCATCCTTTACACTTTATTCAATATTTTGACATCTCATTGTATCCATTGAAAATCAGAACGTTTTGATTCAATGTAATGCACAAATATGTACCGGGCAATGCGGAGGGGCAATAGGTAGCATGATCGCTTCACAGCAAGAAGATTGCTGGTTCGAGCCATGGCTGAGTCAGTTTGCATTTCTGTGTTCTCCCCGCGTTCGTGTGGGTCTCCTCCGGGTGCTAAGCTTTCCCCCACAAGTCCAAAGACATGTGGTATAGGTGAATAGAGTAAACTAAACTTGTCCGTAGTGTATGTGTGTGAATGAGTGTTTATTGGTGTTTCCCAGTGATGGGTTGCAGCTGGAAGGGCATCAGCTGCGTAAAACATATGCTGGATAAACTGGCGATTCATTCCACTGTGGAACTCCAGATTAATAAAGGGACTAAGCCGAAAAGAAAATGAATGAATGAATGAATGAATGAATGAATGAATGTGTACCTGAAAGAGTTTAATACCAGCCCGTGACACTTAAATACTTAATTTTGGCAACATTTTTTTAAGTATCAGTAAAACTTGCATTAAATAATAAAAAACAATGAATGGAATCGAGAATCGGATAAATAACTGAATGGAGTCAAAATAAGGGCTTTGAATCAAGCCGAGGCCCAAACCCAGCCCTAGCTGCTAATGTTAGACCTAACGTTGCTGTTTTTAACCTTTTTTGCTAGCGTAATAATAATTTCATTAAATGTTTTATAAAAACAAAATAATGTAAAGTAACTTACGTTTCGGACAAAATTGCCAGGTCGTTCACATATCGTCTTGGACAATAAATGAAGGAAAATTAAATAATACTTCATTTTAGCTTGGCTTAGCTGAACGCTAAACACCGCACAGGACGTTAGTGGACTGGAGTCTTTCCTACGTTGCAAAAGCGATTTGTAACAAGTCTAAATAATCCACTCCGGGTTTTCCATATTCTACCTCCTGCACTCTAGTTAGGTAAACGCGGCACTGAGCGATCATGGTCATCGGACGAAAACACCACCAGTCAGTCACAATATAAAGATAGCTGTAGAAATTAATTAACTTAATATTTACAATTTAATATCAGTAATAAATAGCAGAGTTTCGCTTAAAAACACAACCGACTTACAAACCCTTAGCTCCAGTGAGCTCACAGAGCCGCTCGGCCAATCAAATACGAGGACCCACTACAGTATTGTATATTTATTTTTACGTTTTGTAAAAAAATTATGTGAAGTATTTCTGTGCTTCCTTAAAGCAACAGGTTGTAAAAAATAAGTCACTTACAAAAATTCATTTTATCTTACATTTTTTTAATATAAATAAGGCTATATGTTATAATATCATGTTCATATTAACGCGTATTACCAGTGTGGTTTTCCAGAAATGTGACTGGACAATAATGCTGCACAATGCATAAATAGCCATATGAGTTGGCACGCAGAGGGAAGCTCGGGAGCTGTTGTAATCAGTCATTGCCGCTGATAGGAGGCGGGGGCGGGGCTCAGAGCGCTTTGAACACAGATGCGGAGCGGCAGCTCTTCTGCTCTGAGCGCCACTGAACAGACACGGACGGACAGCACCATGACTGCGAACGCATACGACGTGATCGTGATTGGCGGAGGCATCTCAGGTTAGTGGCATCAAAATAGCGTTAAAAACTTCACATTATCTCAATGCAATTGCTGCGCTCCTACAGAAACTTTGCATCACTGAGGATTACCGGCTGATGATAGTAGTGATCATCGTTATTGAGTAATATAAGCTGCGCGACTGACCCGTGCTGAATATGATTATTCAGTTTCGCAGTGCTTAAATAACACTGTAATGTCGCTGCGTGTAGTTCATGTTTACGTTGTATATAGGACTGTTCAGTTTGTGAGAAAGACAGGAGGGTGAGTTATGCAGACTTGGTGTATTTGTTCTCGTTGTCACCTGAGCTGAGCTTGCCCTTCCACTTCCGTGACATGATTATTTCATATTCATAACGCCAGAAGGCAGAGACCGTTAAGCGGCATGCAACAGTGTATTAGGCTATCAACTTTTTATTCTCAGCATCAGTGTTTAGTTTCCAAATGTGAGTATTAGGGGAAATGTATTTTCTTTTATTTCACTTTTTTTTTTTTGAAAAAGGTTCTGCAGATTGACCAATTAAATCTAAGTGCAGGTATTATATATCTTCACACTTCTGTTTAACAGAGATTTTTTTCAACACATTTCTAAACATAATAGTTTTAATAACTAATTTCTAATAACTGATTTATTTTATCTTTGCCACGATGACTGTAAATAGTATTTTGCAAGCTATTTTTCAAGACTCTTCTATACAGCTTAAAGTGACATTTAAAGGCTTAACTATGTTGATTAGGTTAACTAAGCAGGATAGGGTAATTTGGCAAGTTATTGCAGAAGGATGGTCTGTTCTGTAGACTATCCAAAAATATTTAGCTTAAAGGGGCTAATAATTTTGACCTTAAGATTATTCTTAAAAAATTAAAAACTGCTTTTATTCTAGCCAAAATAAAACAATGAAGTCTTTCTCCAAAAGAAAAAATATTATCAGATATGCTGTGAAAAATGTCTTGCTCAGTTACATCATTTGGGAAATATTTGAAAAAGAAAATTTAAAGGGGGCTAATTCTGACTTTAACTGTGTGTGTGTGTGTGTGTGTGTGTGTGTGTGTGTGTGTGTGTGTGTGTGTGTGTCTGTGTGTGTGTGTGTGTGTATAAGTGTCAAGATATATAATAGTTAAGATGTGCAATATTATACCCATTATACAGCAACTTACCCTTATCACAGAACCCAGATTTTTTAGCAGCTGATATTACTTAATATTACTGACCAGTAACATTAATTAATAATGGTCACTCATCCATGTAATTGTGTGAATGTGTCATGTTTACATAACTCTTAAAAAGGCGTTAAATAAATAGCACTGAAAGTGATTAACTGTAATTAGAATTATATATGGGACCACTTTAAGTGCTATATACCACCTTAACCTCCCCAAAGAAACACTGAATAACTTTTTTTTCTTTTTCAGTTGAAAAAATTTCAACCTTAGATGCAACCAGACCTCAAAATGTGTTTTTCACATTTGAAATAGTTAATAGTTTAATAATAATTTATTTAAATATATGATAATAATTCAAATTTAAATATTAAAATTGTTTGTATAGGTATGACATGGTGGCTCAGTGGTTAGCACCGTAGCCTTACAGCAACAAGGTTGCTGGTTCGAATCCTAGTTGGGTCAGTTAGCATTTTTTTTGTGGAGTTTGCATGTTCTTCTCGTGTTTGCGTGTGTTTTCTCTGGGTTCTCCGGTTTTCCCCACAGTCCAAAGACATGTGGTGCAGGTGAATTGAATAATTGAACTAAATTGGCCATAGTGTATGTGTGTGAATGAGTGTGTATGAAGGTTTCCCAGTACTGGATTACAGCTGAGTTGTGTAAAACATATGCTGGAAAAGTTGGCGGTTCATCCTGCTGTGGCGACCCCTAGTGAATAAAGGGACTTAGCCGAAGGAAAATGAGTGAATGAATGAATAGTTAATAGTTTGTATTTAATTGTATGCATGTGTCTTATCTCGCTTTATATTACAATACTTCATGAAATATATACACTTTTAAAAATGTATGTCGCACTGCAAGACTACTTAAAATGAAACTGGGAATGCAACAGATCAATAAATAAAATAAAAAATGTTTTTTTAAAAAAAGAACATTGTGGATTAAAGGTTCTTCTACATCTTTCCTTTTATATATCCATATACATACTATCATAAAAATCAAGAGTATTTTCCAAAAATACGTCAACTACTGCCATACACTGCTGAACTCACATACACATACTTACAATGCCAATGCTCTGCTTCAGGGTTTCAAAGACACAAGTCTTCATAACAGTTAATAGTATGTTAATCATTGAATAAGTGTAGTGTGAAAAGCCTGTCAAACGTTTTAATATCACAATAATCCCAGTGAGAACTCAAGAATAATGTGCAATGCTTCCCAGGAATATTTATTTTCAGAGATTGTGTAAGATTTATGAAAATGTTGATGCACTATTGATCAGAAAATATTACTGTCTCAGGCAGTCTTAGCATGTGTTGGGTGACCTATTTTGTGTGGAGCAGTGTGAAAGCACAGCATTATGTCCTTACGGCCATAGCCTAACAGGAAATTCCATTCCTTTCGTGTAAACGGACTTGTTCCCACAGTGGAAATGTATTATAATATATAGACTTGACAATTTAAACCCAGCTCTGAGGGAGTGTAGTGCACACTGGGAGAAATATTGCTTGTGCAAGAACTTCATTCTTGGAAACAGAACTGGGCAAAACAGGGTCAAGATGTCCTCCCGATAACCTGCTGGAAACGTTATTTCATTTCATACAGGCGCTTTTGTCGATTGAATTTATATGATATGTAACAGGACATCAGAATCAAGTCAGATGTTTCAGTTTAGATGGTTACTTCTGAGGATATTAAAGTTTCTATTTGCAATGTCGCTCAGAGTTTAGTAACTAAAGTCCATTTTATTTTGCAACATGCAATTATGCTATTTTCTGATTAGTTACTGTAGGTAATTAACTGCAAGAGTAAAGGGCCGTGCACACCGAGCATGATACCTGTAAAGATAACGATAAAGATTAAGTTCTAAATCTAAAAACTGCAGAGTTCAGACCACAACTCTAAAGATAAAAATTTTGAGAAACAATATCATGGGGATTACTTTTAGAACAAATTATTTCCTAGTTAATAATCAATAAAACATGGACACTCAGTCAGTCCCAGGCTTGCGCAGTTTAAAGCTACAGACGACATTGTGGAGAAGCTCACTGCTTGAACAGGTGAATGAAAGTTATGATGTGCAAATTAAGTCTTGTTTCTCAACAGTAAAACTCAATCATAACCAATAATTATGTCCACCTGTTTGACTTGACATTGATAGAGTTTCTCTTCAGTGTTTTGGCTTTGACATTTACATTACACAATATGGAATTTTCACCAGCAGGGACCACGCCACACTAGACTTTAGTGTTGTGATGAAAGGTATAGTAAGGGAACGGTGGGATGAAGGAGAAGGGAAGTAAGAGGATAAACAGTGTAGATAGGTAAGTTGATCGGGCGTCCTACGATGATGCCCAGAGACTCAGAGTGGGGGTACCATCTCTGTAATATTTTGGTAGAGTTAATGGACCCCCTAATTCAACCCAAGATGGAAGAGAGGGTTGTAAGTTTAGTAATTGGAAGTGAGAAAAATGAGAGAGGGAGGCTAGGTTTGAGAGATCGAGAACAATAGTGCAGGAGGGCTGGTCAGCCTTAAATTAGTTGTTAGGGGGTAGGTGATTGGTTAAGGAGACAAAGTGAGGTGTGGTACTGCTGCCAAACCTTTGTTAACAACTTAATTCAAGTAAAGTGAAGTAAAGGAGTAAAGAACTTTTATTGTCGTTGTAGTTATACAATGAAATTTGTTTGGTAACACACAGAGACCAGCAGCAATATAAAAAGAGAGAAAACAAACAATAGACATAATACTAAAATATAATATGCAAGATAAAATATACTAAATGTAATAAGTCACATAAAACAAACAATAGACATAATACTTAAAATATAAGATGTAAGATAAAAAATACTAAATGTAATAAGTCACAGTATTTACATTGTGGCAAATGAGTGCAAACATGATACCATCGTGTCTCCCTGTAGCCCAATAATGGTTAATAATTTGTTTTATATTTTTGCAGTGAATATTATATACATTATGCAGTGGTATTTGATTATAGTTTTCAGTTTATTTAACTGAAAACTACTGTTATGTACATGAAAAACCTGATAAGCTGTTTATTTTAGTTTTATCTTTTGCTATATTGCATAGGTCTCAAACTCAATACTGGTTAAAGCTAAACTATGCAGAGCTGTGGTCCTCCAGGAATTGAGTTTGAGACCACTGCTATATTGTATGTATTTTGTATTGTATTTTGCTTGTAGACTTTTTTTTTTTTTTTTTTTTTTTGCCAGTGCTTTTTTTACTCAACACATCATATTTCAACTTGTCCCGAAATCATGAAGAGCACCCCTATTGAAAACAATTGGTTACACCATGGGAATTGATGCCACAAAATACATGGAAGTAATGCAGTATGAAGTAATAAATTACCTTAAGGATCCAGTGCTAGTTTTGACGCCTTTGTGTATTGGGAAAATTTAATTTTATTCAAAATATTTAATTCCATTCCACTATGACTGTAAGGGCTAAATTTACAGTTTGATTAGATTGATTACAAGCTGGATTTACTTAACAGATTTACAATAGTATAATACCCCTTTCTAATCCTTGATCAGTGTTGATGCAGAAATATTTATTATATATTTACAATTACCGTTTTGGATGTTAACAGGCCTTAACCAAGACTTTCTAGACTACAAACCAAGGTTTATTGTCTTAATAATAAATTACATTGTGACTTAATTAGCCATGGGACGGTATAAGTTTCTGACTGTATAATAACCTTGGATAAAAACACTACACGGTATTACTGCTCTAAATTATGTTCTTTTTAAATGTCTGGGTAAAAAAAAAACTTTTTCCCCCACAATATATTATAATTTAGGAAACATTTAT